CGGAGGGCGTAGCCGGGAGGGCGATGAGGATTGGCTGCAAAGCTGAAGACTGGCAGGCCCTGCGGCCTGTCGCGGGGGCCGTGGGCGGTGTGCCCCCGGGCAGGGCTGGAGAGCGCAAGGTGCAGAGTTTGGCCGGGAGCGCGGGGGCCCCAGGCGGCCTCAGACGCCCCGGGCGGGGTTCCCTGAGGCTGTGTCGAAGAGGCCGGGCTTCGGACCGCGCCGCGCAGAAGCAGGACCTCCAACTCTGGCTGTGAACACGGGCCATCTCGGTTGAAAGACTCCTGGATAATTTTCCATTCCTTCACTCCCGCTATTTCCCTGCCAACCACACGGAGAAGGCAGACTCTCTCAGGTCACTCAGGCTCGTCCTCTGCAGCTCTGGGTTGTTGTGAAGATGTAGAAACAGGTGGAATCCTACCCTCGAGCCTCGTGGTTTTCTGGAAGCGTTGGAGCTCTCTGAGTTCAAGCTCTCTCCTTTACGGAACCCAATAACAACCCCACCTGGCCTTCTCCCGGATACACCTTTTGTGAATTAACTGAAAACTAACCACTGTCTCTTGAGGTCAAAACGACCACTGGCCACATTTTACAGAAACCAGAGTGCAGAGAGGTCAAGCTCCTGGGCCACAGTGCTTCAAGGGGCCTAATCTGGAGGTGAACTGGGAGCAGCCTGCTCTTTGGAAGTGGGGTAAGGCAGTGTCAGACAAGAGCCACCAGGGGCCTGAGCAGTCTGGGTGGAATCCATGTGCAGCCACTGGCCCACTATATAACCTTGAGCAAGGTGGTTGTGAATCTGTTTTCTCAGGGGACAATGAATCCTACACCTTGATCCTTCTTCTTTAGGACGAACTTACATCCCAAAATACCCCATGGGAGTACTTATATCTCAGACCTTGCTGGGATATAAGACATTCTGGTGAAAGCATTTGACCCTCAGCAGGTCCATCTGGCCTGTGAGCCTCAGCTTCTCTGTGAGGTGCATTCTTGGGATTCTTTGCAAACAGATGCCAGCAGCGTAGAGAAGACACCTGCCATCCATGTAAGCCGCTGTGTCATTGGCACTCCCCCCAAGTGCACTCTAAATCTCCAGGACGGAGTTACAAATGTTCCCAGATACTGGCTCTTATTTCCTCTAGGTGGCGGTTAGGGCTGATAAAGATCAAGTTCAGAACCAGGGAATGCTGGGAGGAGCAAACCTAAACTAGGCCTTAATGAGGGTTCACATTTCAGGGTTGTGTGAGCCCCCTGCCTCCAGCTTAATCCACAACATCTCAAAGGGCTTGCTGTATGGAGGATGGGGAAAACCTCTAACCTGGCCACGATATGACTTGTGTTAGTCCCACGAGATTCCCACCTGGGCCTTTCTCCCGCACCTCCCAGCTGTGGTCTGCTTCCCACCAACTTCCAGGCCCTGGTTTCCATTCTGCTCTCTGGACAAGAGGAGGACACTGAGGTCTGCTAAACACCTAATGGGTGTCAGGTCCTTACTGGGCTGGATGCTTCCCAAACACCATTCATGACCTGATTTCCACATGGCAGGGGGAAGGGACAGCACCTACTTTGCAAATGAGAGAACTGATCCTCCCTGTACCACTACAGGTGTTCCTCACTGAAAAGGCCTGAGGCTAGATTTGAATCCCTGCTGTTTTTTACTTGCTGGCCACCAGACCTTCAGCAAGCAACTCAAATTCTCTGCCTCAGTTTCTCCAACTCCCTCCCAGGGTTGATGACAGCACTGAGATGAATGGAAGTAAAGCACTCACTTCATTGGTCCACAGCCAGCATTTACTGAGTGTTGGTGATGGATAAACCATTCTTGGGGCCTGTTTCCCTTTCTGTATATAGCATTTCATGGAATGTGGACATAGATCAGCTATGGGTGGGGTTTGCCACCCAAAGAGGGAGATATTTATGCTACAGGAGTCCCTACCCACGGCACCCACCTGCCAGGCCCTTGGGAGGGAGGCAGCAAGCTCCTGGAAGGTCCCATGGTACCCCTAGGAACAATGCCAACTGAGGCAAGGGTCAGGCAACAGTCCAGGACCAGGCTGCCTCTCCTGAGGGTGCCAAAGGCACTGCTTGGGCTCTGGCTTCTGTTTGCCTGTCAGCATGCTGGCGCCGGTCAACCTCCCTGCCGCCTTCCAACAACAGCCAGTAATGCCCCTTGGCATCAGCAACAGACACCCCCACTGTGGGCACTTCAGCTGTGCCTGGCCAGGGTTCCTGGGATCCCAGCTCTTCCGTGTCAGCCTGGCTGGCTCTGGGCAGAACACTGTCTCTCTGCCCCCTCCCTCCATCTCCTCTACCTCTTGGGGATCCCAGAATCATCTGACACGATGGCTGTGAGCCAGGCCTGGGCAGAGTGACAGGGCTTAATCAACCGAGTCCAGAGAGCCGTTTGCCCAAGGTCAGGTTAGCAATGCTGGTGAGAGAGGGGTATGGAGACAGGCCAAGCTGAGTTCTCATCCCACTGTAGCCCCTCAAATGCCAGTGAGTCTGTTTCTCATCTGGAAAACGCAGTTCAGGGCAGCTCAGGTGGCTCAGCAGTTTAGCGCTGCCTTCAGCCCAGGGCATGATCCTGGAGACCCGGGATCGAGTCCTACGTTGGGCTCCCTGCATGGAGCCTGCTTCTCCCTCGGCCTGTGTCTCTGCCTCTCTCTGTGTCTCTCATGAATAAATAAATAAAATCTTAAAAAAACAAAACAAAACTTATCAGGTGTTTAAAAAAAAAAAAGGAAAACACAGTTCATAAGTCCTCCCTCTCAAATATGTGTTCATAAGCCAGGACCCTGGGTCCTTCACTGACTGGAAGGATACCTGCTGAATACAACAGTGATGGTCACCCAAGCCCAACTGGTTTCAAGGTGGTTTCACTCAGCCTCCCAGAGGCTCAGAGAAGCTGGGTCACTCATCTAAGAGCACACAGCAGTAGAGGCCTAGTCTGAATGTGCTGGCTGTTCCCTTTCAGTGGTTTCCTCCTCAGCCCTGGTTTCAATGTCATCAACAAGGATGGCAAGCACTCCTCAGACAGGACTGTGTGCCTTGCTGGGGGATGTGACCCTGTGTAGCAACGCACTTAACTGTTTTCAGGAGAGGAGGTTGAGGTCACCTGAGGTGGCAGAGCAGGGACTGGAACCCAGGTTTGGCCAACCTCGATGATATGCCTACTCACCCTGGGAACTTGCAAACAGACCCTGAGCCACGCCCACTGATGAAGCCTATTTACTCAGACTAACGTAGGAAGGATTGGTAAGTTAGAGCCCTGTCTCCCCAGAGACGCCTGCAGCTGTAGGAAGGCTGGCCAGGAGCTCAGGGGAGAACACTAGGCTATGGGGGCAGAGGCCTTCCCTCAAAACCACCCTCTTGATTTAGATGTATACTCAAAAACATTTTCAGGAAGCTGAAACAGAGCAGGGAGACAGGAGCCTGCCTACATACAACTCATGGGCAGTAGGGGACAGACAAAACAGAAAAGCACACAAGCAAAGGGACCATAGGCTCAGAGACACAGCACAAGAGGTGATGAGACCAGTGAAGGGGAAGAGCAGTATCTCTTCATGGAGGCAACATGTGAGCTGGAACCTGGTGCTAGAGAAGAGCTGGCCATGGGGAGGACTGAGGGAAAGGTGCTCCATGCAAGGCACAGAATGTGCAAAGGCCCTGAGGTGGGGAGGCTGATGTGGCCAGAAAGACAAGAAGGAATGCAGGGAAGATCAGGTTGGGAGGTGGACAAGGCCTAGAGGACAGCTGATTTTATGGAGAGGGCAATGGGGAGCCTTGGGCAGAATGAGAGCAGAGCTGGGGCAGGAATTACAGGAATGGCACCTCAGGCTTCCCCCAAAATAGGCTGGCATCACCCAACTCCCATGAGACAGATAAAGATACTCAAGGCTCACAGGGCCCAAGGATTGCCTCAAGGTCACATGGGTGGCAGAAGTCAAGGTGGGGCAACTTGGAGCAGGTGCAAGATCCTTCTACAGGTTGGGTGAGTTCTCAGTGGGGGAGTCAGGGTGAGGTGACTGGGTCAGAGGTTCATGTCAGTACCCTCTGAGCTAGCTGGGCCCTCCCAACCGGGAGTGAGGAACAATTGGACCACCACAGGGAATTAGAATCAGGGTGATGCCACCCCTCACTGCAGCTATCTGCATCAGCCACGGAAACCAGGAGCCTTCTAGGAAAGGGCTTGAGCTGGTATCAAGGACCAAAATCAGGCCCTCCTTGAGCTAGGGGAGATGAAGGACGAGCAGCAGGCTGGGTGTTCCAAGAAAGGTGAGGGGGTCCCAGTGTGTGGGCTGTAGAGGTCATGTAACTCAGCACCTGGAGCCCAGCAGAGGTCCTGAAACTACCTGACCCTGGTTGGGCCACATGAGATACACAAGCTGGCCAGGTGACCACAGTAAGACCCCCCCAGTATAAATGCAGAGGAGCACAGGGGCTTGCCAGGCACAGCTGATGGGGGACCCCCCCAGAACACTTGTGGGGTACAGTGGGTATTTGGGGCGGCAACAGTGATGTCCATCTACAGATGGGGAAACTGAGGCTCAAAGAAGGCAGGTAGGGTGCCCAAGCCACCTGGTGAACAACAACCTCAAGTAGCTGGGCAGAGGAGTACAAGATAGTCCTAGGGTGACTGAGGCAGTGAAGCTAAAACAATTGGGTGCCTCCCATGTGCTCAGCTCTGCTTGCACACCCTTCAGAGGGGGCTCTATTTTTCCCCCTCCCCATTTTACAGACCATCAAATCAAGGCTCAAAGAGACACTAGCTCAAGGCCACAGAGTTGAGTGATCCATAATCAGAAACTGTGTCCTTGGGGCCGAGACCCCAGGTGTGAACCATGGCTCCTGCAGACTGGGAGTGACAGCAGATCATATATCCCAGGCTGTCCTCAAAAGCCTTTGGCTTTCCTCAGTGAACCCACGGCCTCCCCAAACTTCTGTCCCTCTCCCCTTCTCTAAGGCCACGGGAGGTAGCCCCCACGTCGCTATGGAAGAGATCCCTCCATTGTTCAACTAATAGAGTCTTTTATTCCTGGGCAGTACTGGCTGGCCTGGGGCCCCTGGAGGCAGAAGAGTTTGGTCCCTGCCCTCTGTCCAGCAGAGCAAGGCTCCTACAACCCATATTACAAGTGAGAGATAAGCAGGGGAGAAAACAGACTTGTAAGCCAAAGCGGGGTCCCCATCCTGCTGTGAAATTGGCCAGTGTGGCTCCCAAATTTCAGTCAGCACTCCACCTCCAGGCAGCACTAAGGAGGCCCTTCTGATAGGAAAGGGCATGTGGTAGGGGTGGGCAGGCAGGCAAGATAATGCCAGTGCTGTCAGCTGGTGAGGAGAACAAGGTGATGGGAGGCCAAGACCCTGGGGATGCTTTATGCTCTATAGATGCTTCACCAGTGCTCCCTTCCCATCCCAGCCTCTACCTGGTGCCCATCAGAAAACACTTTTCACTGAGTGGGGGAGGAATCTGGGGAATAGAGTGGCAGGACATGGACCTCCTCCCTGTTCCTGAATCACAGAACTCATCCAAAGCCACGGCCCAGACTGAGCCTGGGGTTATGGTGCCAGGTTGCCCTTCTGGCCAGTCCACAGCTCTCGCAGCTCCACATGGAAGCCAAGGTCCCGCAGGGCAGCCTTGGCCACATCCTCACAGTCACGGTGGGCAGCACGGGCCTGCAAGATGAGTGCTTCAGCCCCCAGGTCCAGGATGGGCTGTGAGAAGGCCTGGCTGCGGGCCACCAGGTTACGGATCAGCATGCAGGCCTGTTTCTGGGAGGGAGAAAATGTGAGTGGCTATGCGCTGGTAAGTGGGGTCCATTCTGACTTTGGGGCCCTCATCGTAACACAACAGGGCAAAGGTGACCACAACCAACATACAGTAGGTACCTACTCTGTGACTCATTGGGCTAGATTCATCTCCTCCCTTTATCCTTCCAACTGTTCAGAGAGGCAGGGGTAATTCCCCTATTTCCCAGTTGAGGACACTGAAGTTCAGGGCAGTTAACAGCTCAACAGGTGAGGCTGATCCCTCAGGCGTGAGATCCTCAGCTTCAGAGCAAGATCCCCTGTGGCTGGCAATAGCCTGGGCAGGGGCCCCAGGAAAGAAGGGCAGAGAGTCGCAGGAAGAGGGGGTTGTGCACAGGACCCACATGTCAATTACATCATCACTCATTCACCAACATCTGTGCCCTGGTTATCTGCCATGTGTGGGTGCCACGAGGCACCCCACCACTGGGAGACTAGATGAGAAGTAGGTAAGGTGTGAGGGGCTGCCCAGCCAGGCTGGTGAGGAGTGGGCCAGGTGATGGGTTAGCCAAGGACACAGTGTCCCAGAGGAGATACCACCTGCAGCAAAGGCCCCTAGTAGGACAGAGCCTGGTATGTCTAAGGACCAACAAGGAGGCCCCTGTGCTGGGAGGGTGTGAGAGGTGGGAGTGGGGGAGGCAGGAAGAGTCCTAGCGGCTAAAAGGAAGTGACTGGGTTTCAGGCAGGGGTGCACATAGCCCCATTTACTGCTCAGCTTCACTGACTCCCCAGCAAGGTATGGACTGTGAGTCTGACATGCAGAACACAAAGGAGCAGCCCATGGATGGCAGGGAATCTTCCAAAACTCCTAGCAGATCCCCATCTGCTCTCCTCCTCTTCCTATCCCTCTAAAGGAACTGTTAGAAAAGCTCAATGCAGGAAGAGTAAAGGGACAGGAAGCTCAATGCAGAAGACGGCTGTGGGCAGAACTGGGTGCATTTTCAAAGATGGGAAGTAGATACCTCTGGGGGCTAGGAAAAAGAAAAACGACTTTGAGATAACTGGGCTGGGGTGGGATGGGGACAGAGACAGTGAGGGTCTGCGTCCTGCCCCTCCTTCCCGTCCCCAGACCCACCTGCACTCCAGCTTCTTGAGGGTGTGCCTTCATGGCCTGCAATGCAGCCAGGGCCCCACCGCCCTCCATGATGACCCGGCTGTTCTCTGGCTTTCGCAGGGCCAAGACACACAAGGCTGCACAGCTCTGCTCGCATATCTGTAGGGTTCACGGAGATGGACAGAGATACCCATCATCTGGAGGACCCGCCATGGCTGCCACTGTTAATTCCCCAGGTAAGTGCCCTCCAATTTCACCTGAGGAAACTGTTGCCAGCCTGTGTATATACCAGATCACTAATAACAGGAATGATACCCAGGTGATAAAGACATCAATCATGCTCTTAGGGGTTACAGTCTCAAGCCAGGCCTCTTGCGGGCTCCATCCCAGCCCTAACCCTGCTTTAGGAAATGGGGAAGAGCACCATGCAAATCCAGATACTGATCTGGACCTCCAGTCACTGTACTCCACCTCGTGTGACCCGTGTGTGGGGTAGGTACCTGGGGGCTAGCCAGGTGCTGGGTCATGGCAGCCACGATGGACTCTGTCCCGCCAGCACGGACGATGGCATCCTTCACATCGTCGTTGCCTGCAATGGCCCGCAGGGCACTCAACACTTGCTTCACAAGGTCCTATAGGGAGGGGCAAGGTACAGGTTACTTCGGGCCAGCTCGTCCTCCTGTGCTGTGCCAGACACTGCTTGGTTGCTGGTGTGTGTGCGTGCGTGGCAGGGGTGGTGGTGGTCAGGCCTTGAGAGAGTTTGTTGTTTTGCTGTCTGAACTGGTGGGGGCACCCTGGGGCTTGCGGGAAGCCTGGACCGACAGGGTTATTACTCGCTGCATAGAAAAGGCAGAGGCTTAGGGAGGTGGACCCTGTGAGTTAGTCCACTTGTGTCCAGGCCAGGCATCTGGACATCCTTGACACCCACCCCTCACACACAGAGGAAGCATGTGGCTCAGGCCAGGAATCAAAGCACGGGTTCCCCTGGCCACAGTCGGGTCCCCAGGTGGGCACTGACCAACTTGAACTGAGGACAAGCTGACCGGATACTGCTGGGACTGCCAACCATGCCAGTGAAGGGCAGAGCCATAAAAGAGGAAGAGAAAGCAGTGGGAGGGAAACCAAGCCTCTACCCACCCGACTGTCGAGGAGTACAAAACGCATTCCCTCATGTCTCAAGCCAGTTCAAACTCAGGTTTCTGGCACCTGCACACAAGACTGGCTGATATCACCAGCTGGGGGTGGAGGCAGTAGGACCATTGCTGCCATGGAACAGGTAGGTATTTCCAAATGTAGAGAGGGGGTTAAGTGGCTGCTAAATGAAAGAATAATGAATAGGAGTCCCCACCCCATTTTATGGATGGGGAAACCAAGGCACCAAGGATTTATGTCACTCAAGCATCACACAACTGAGCTGGGATCTACGCCAGGCTCTGCCAACACCTACTCACATTTCTCCCATTGTGGGGAGAAAATACAAAAGTGTTAAAGTAAGAAAGGGTGGTGGATTTGTTTTCCCCAAAACACTTTACATCCTGCCCTGGGGTCAATATAAAACTGCACTTTGCTTCCAGGGTCAGCAGACAGGGCTGGTGTGCTATGATTCAAGTTTGTTGGGGTGTCTGGGGCTCAAAGGGACAGAGTTCACTGGGAGGTCTAGAACCTTCCCTCGGCACCAAGAGAAATGACAAATCAAAACCCAGCTGAGGGGGGCTTCACACCCTAAGACGGCTCTGGACGCCCACCTGGTGGTCGCTGCAGTTGGCCAGTAGGGCCACCAGGACCCTGAGGCCCCCAAGGTCGACGACCTCCTGGCAGAATTCATTGCGGACGGCCAGGCGGGACAGGGTGCTGCAGAGCTCACTCAGGATACTGGGGCTGTCAGAGAATGCTGTGGAGAGGGAGGGAGGGAGACACACGGCTTAGGGTAAGGACAGGGAGAGAACCTCTTCCAGCTTGGAACTAGGAGCCAGTGATCCTGGTACAAATCCTGTTCCACCTGGGAAGCTGGGCCCTTGTGCCAGGCACGGTGGCCACAGGTACCAAGGGAGCCCCACAAACACCAGGGCTGCTGGGCCTGCAGTGCCCCCTGCTGGCAGCCGGAAAAGACACAAGAACGTGCCCTCCCCCGCACCTCGTCCCAGATAAATTCCAGACCAACTGATGATCTCAACTAAAAAAAGAATACCATAATAGTGCTATAATAAAACATCCGAGACTATTTTTATGTTCTTGGGGTGGGAATGACCTTTCTAAGTGCAACGGGAAACCCAGAAATTGAAGAGGGACATATGGATAGATTGACCTGGGCAAAATTGAACACAGATGCCGGAGACGAAGCTCAGAGGCCCCAGGGAGGAGGGGCCTGGACTGAGGCTCATGTGGGGGGTGGCAGGGGGTGAAAGAGTGTGGGGTGGACAGCCCTGATTTATCCAGAGTTCTGTGACAGTCAACTGGTATGTCCCCCTTGTCAGGTGCAGCCCCCAGCAACGCCATGAGCACTAATCTGGGTGGAGGTATTCTCTAGATGTGGTGACATCTATGATCAGTTGACTTCAAGAAGACCCTTGATGGTCTGAGTGGTCCTCATCCAGTCAGCCGAAGGCCTTAAGAGGGAAATTGAAGGCACTGGGGTGGCTCAGTCAGTTAAGCATCTGCTTTGGCTCAGGTCATGATCCTGGGGTCCTGGGATCGGGTCCCACATCAGGCTCCCTCCTCAGTGTGGAGCTTGCTTCTTCTCCCTCTGTCCCTCTCTCTGCTTGTACTCTCTGTCAAATAAATAAATTTTTTTTTTAAAGGGGGGTGGGAACTGAGGTCTTCCTGAATAGGAAGAAGCTTGCCTGAGGACTGTGGTGTTGGCTCCTGCTCAAGCCTGTTCCATGGAATTTAGACTCACCAGCCGCTCGGCCACATGAGCCAATTCCTTGAAATAAACACACACACACACGTTCTGCTTCTCTGGTAGAACCAGTTTGATATGAGCTCCTGTCAACAAATAAAAATGTAAGCTCCCCCTCCAAAACGCAGCTCAACTTTGCACATGGCCAAGATCTGTTTTCACCCTCTCCAGAGGTATGAGACTGAGGCAGACCAGCCTCTCCAGAAGACACGGCCAGAGTCACACATACACAAGCCTAGCCATTGAGCCAAAGCCATAGGCAGGCCGGGAAGAACTCATTCTTCTAGCACCTTCTTGCACCAGACCACAATCAGGCCTCTTCTGATGGGTACAGAAAGCAGGTAATTTCAGATCTGAACACCAGTGCAGTGATCTATGGCTGGCTTGCCTTGTTCATTCCAGTCGGGAACATGTAAGAATTTATGGCTAGGTGTGAACCAAACTATAAACTTCCACTAAGCACCAGCCACACTCCCCCATCTTTGGGAAACACCCTATCTGTCCCTTTGGGGAGCTCTCCTTTCTGTGTTCTCAGTCTGTATGGGGGGACAGAGCTAAGCCCCCCTTCCCCAAATGGCTCCAGAGATGGGCACAAGATCTGGTCTTGGCCAAGGAACACTGGCCTGGAACTCTCCTAGAAGAACCAAGAGAAAGGACACTGTTCCACTAGGGGTGCCATATGGCTGATAGGAAATCAAAAGAGGTGAGTGGAGCCTGAAGCCAGCCATGTCTGAAGCAGTCCTAAAACCCAACTTTCATTCTGACACCCGCTCCTACCTTTGGCAGCCTCAATGAGCACCTTCAAGCCTCCATTCTCCTGCACAATCATCTTGGCATGGTCGTGGGCATGGCCAAAGGGCACACGGATGTCATCATCGAAGGTCATGACTCGGAGGGCCCAACAGGCCTCTCTGACCACGTCGGCGCAATGCCTATGTCGGGCAATGGCACCAGTCAGCAGGGGCAGCACACCGGCCTTCACCAGGCTTTGCCGATTCTGCTCATGCTTCAGGCAGGCATGGCACACACAGCGGATCCCAGAGCAGGTCAGATCAGCTACGTCGGCATTCTGGGCCAGGGTTGCCACCAGCAGCTGTAGGCCCTGGGTGTCTAGGAGATCGGGCTGGCCATCGGTCAGGGCTGACAGGGTGTTGAGGGCCTGAAGCAGCAGGCTCTGGTCACTTGCTGCAGCAAGCTTCCAGGCAGCCAGAAGGATGGGGTAGGCCCCCTTCTGGGCAGCCAGGAAGCGGCAAGCCTTGTGCTGCTTGCACTGTTCAAAAAAGCGGGCAAGGTGCATGGACACTTCCTGGGGGCGAGAGTGGGTCACGGACTCCCGCAGGTCATCCAGGACCTAGAGAATACGGGAGAAACTTCAGTGCCAGCTCAGTCCAAAGATGTTCCAGAGCAACAGTGTTGCACCCCTGTGAGCTTCCTGCTTCTGGGATCTAGGCCTGTGGTGGAAGTACAGGCCAGCTGTGGCAGCTTCCACACCTGGGCTTTTAGGAGTTTTGAGCTTCAGAGGCCACATAGAGATGGAGAGACCCAGCTATCTCAGTGTCCCTCCATGGAGCCACACGTGTGAGTGCAGACGTAATCAACATTCCAGCCCTAGATGCCATTGCAAGAGGGCTCCAAGCAAAACCCGCAGAACCATCTGGTTGAGCTCAGTCCACCCAGCCGAACCATAAGGAACAATAAAATGGCTGTTGCTTTGAGTTGCTTATTATGCAACTATAACTAACTGATACACCCTCCAACGGCCACCTCTCCAAGGAAAGTGAAAGTTACCTTTGCCAGACTGGCCCATACCAGAAGTCTGTTTGTCTCTCTCATTCACTCCACAAATATTTATCTGCCAAACCACACCATACATAGTTGATTTACCCAAATTCAACTCAAAGCCCTTTTGCAGGGCAGGGGGAGGGAGGAGGGAGTAATAACGAGAGAAAACAATTTGAAAAGTGCTTCCAAATCTAGCAGGCATTCAATTCCATGACCTCCAGACCTGCCTCAGCCATGAACCCAAGATGAACCCGAGCCTCCTGGAACTTATGAAATCACTGGCACCTGGCCTCAGGGAGGGTGGTTCTACAGATACCATCATCCCAACCCAAGGGGTTTGATTTAGCCACGACTGCCCTGAATGGCAAGGATGCCTGTTGGCAAATCCTCCCTGAGCTAGACTTAACTGAGTATATGTTCCAATGACACAGAATATTAATAGGCTAAAAGCGGAGAATGTGCCTTGAATGGACATCTGCCAAAGAAAATACACTGGTGGCCACTAGGCATTAAAAAGATGGTCCATATCACTAGTTGTTAGGGAATTGCAGATCAAAACCACAGAAAGAGGGGTCCCTAGGCAGCTCAGTCTGTTAATTGTCCGACTCTTGATTTCAGCTCAGGTCCTGATCTCAGGGTCATGTGCTGTGCTGGGCATGGAGCCTGCTTAAGATTCTCTGCCCACCCCCTCTCTAAAAAAATAACAAACCCACACACAATGAGATGCCATCCCATCCATTATGATGGCTACAACAAAAACAAAACCACACAGGAAACAGCAAGTGCTGGTGAGGATGTGGAGAATTGGAACCCTTGTGTGCTGCTGGTAGGGATATGAAATGGAATAGCTGCTGTGGAAAACAGTCTCGCAGTTCCTCAAAAATTAAATATACAATTACCATATGATCCAGCAATCCCACTTCCAAGTATATACCCCTTAGAACTGAAAGCAGTCCTGAAGAGATATCTGTGTATTTGTGTTCATAGCAGCATTATTTCTAGTAGACAAAAGGTAAAAGCAACCCAAATTTCCATCCATGGATGAATGGATAAACAGACTGTGGCCCATTCACACAATGGAATATTATTCAGACATAAAAAGCCAAAAAACCCAAAGCCCAAAAAAAAACCACCCAAATTCTGACCCAGGCTACAACATGGATGAACCCTTCGCCATGGATGGTGTTATGCTGAGTGAAATGAGCCAGACACAAAAAGACCAACACTGTGTCATTCCACTTATGGGAGGTCTCTAGAGGAGTCACATTCATAGAGGTAGGAACTAGAACGGTGGTATTAGGGGAGAGGAATAGGAAGTTAGTGTTTAAAGGGGACAGAGGGGATCCCTGGGTGGCGCAGTGGTTTAGCGCCTGCCTTTGGCCCAGGGCGCGATCCTGGAGATCCAGGATCGAGTCCCACGTCGGGCTCCCGGCGCATGGAGCCTGCTTCTCCCTATGCCTATGTCTCTGCCTCTCTCTCTCTATGTGTGACTATCATAAATAAATAAATAAAAATTAAATAAAAAATAAAAAAATAAAAAAATAAAGGGGACAGAGTTTCAGTTTGGGAATACGATAAAGTCCTGGAAATGGACGGTGAGGATGGTTGCACAACAGTGTGTATATACTTCATGTCACCGAACCATACATTTAGAAACAGTTAAGGTGGTGAATTTGTGTTATATATATTTTACTACAAACCAAAAACAGAGGATGTAGCATTTCAGCAGGAACCTGGTAAGAAACCTGAAAAGTTGTGGCATAAGTGCCATTGAGGGAGCACAGTGCTGGAGTTATAATACTCCAGTTTAGTCAGATAAGAGAGGAAAGGATGATGGCCAAAATTTGCACAACAGTCTTCATCCAATTTGTAGGAAATCTCCCATTGGCCTGGATGGCATCGGAAAAGCAAGTCTCTCCAGCACCTGGGTGGCTTAGTTGATTGAGCATCTGCCTTCAGCTCAGGTCATGATCCCAGGGTGCTGGGATCGAGCCTCACGTCAGGCTCCCTGGTCAGCAGGGAGCCTGCTTCTCCCGCTCTGCTTGAGCTCTCCCTCTCATAAATAAAAAAAATAAAAATAAATAAATAAAAAAAATAAAATAAAATATAAAATAAAATAAAAAAATAAAATAAAAAAAATAAAAAATAAAATAAAAAATAAAATAAAATAAATAAAATAAAATAAAATAAAATAAAATAAATAGTCTCTTCATTGGTTGGCTAAGATGGTGGTCTTCACAGTCCCTAGGTGCTGCCTGTGACCCCAGACCCACTGGTGGCTGAGGAAAGGACAGCTGCTAAAGTGAAGGTGGCAAAGCCAACTGGGCTCCACCTGTAACAACTCAGTGTGGTGACAGGGGGCTTTGTCCACCAACCCTGGGGTCATTTCTTCTGCAACTGACAGCCTGAATTCTGAAACTCCTCACATATAAAACCAGTCCAGCTCATTTTTTCCTTGAAGAGTTCCAAGACTACTTGGTTTTGTTTTGTTTCTACAAGTCTATGTGTAACAAATTTCAGGATTCTGATAGATTCCTTTCAAAAGGCATCACAGAGTTGAAATTTTTTCTACAGATAAGCATTTTTCACGTGTCAAAGCCACAACAGCAGTGGCATGAGAAGGGGCTGGTTCACTTCCAAGGTAAGAAGGTTGGGAGGATATGAAATCTGATGTGTGTGGTGCCTCCCACATGGAAAGGGAGAGAAGGGGTTTGGTGGGAGAGATAGGACAGAGACTTTCAGATTTTGCTATAAATGCTTGAGTATTGCTTGAATCTTTTGTGCTAAGAACATGTTCACTTTCTTCTTCAGTAATGAAAAATAAAATTTAAAAGTGGAATTAAGAAGAATAAAAAGGAAAGGCTGTAAACAAAAGGAGTTTTCTGTACTGCTGATAGAAGACAGCAGAGCTGTTCCCAGTTTGATTTCCCTGGGAGAAGGATCTGTATCCGGGTCTCAGCTCAGCCCCTCACTAGCTGTGACCACAGGTGAGTCATTTATTTTTACGAAGCCTCAGATTCCTGATCAGCAAAATAAGCTAACAATAGATTGAGATCATAGGTTTTAAGAATTTAGCAGTACTTAGTGATTACTAGAGACTATTGTTACTGAGACCCTTCATATGTAAAGAGCATTTACAAATCAATAAGAACAAGATGAACTTGGGACACGTGGGTGGCTCAGTGGTTGAGCATCTGCCTTTGGCTCAGGTCATGATCCCAGTGTTCTGGGATTGAGTTCTGCATTGGGCTTCCTGCAGGGAGCCTGCTTCCCCCTCTGCATAGGTCTCTGCCCCTCTCTGTGTTTCTCATGAATAAATAAAAACTTAAAAAAAAAAAGAACAATCCAATAAAAAATACTGCCAAGACAACAAACTCCTTCCTCTCTTTCTTTCTCTTTCCTTCTTTCCAACTCACTTCTTACTAGCAAACAAGTCAAAACAATGAGAAAGGGTGCCTGGGTGGCTCAGTTGGTTGAGCATCTGCTTTTGGCTCAGGTCATGATCTCAGGATCATGGGATTGAGCCCCACATCAGGTTCTCTGCTCAGAAGGCCTGCTTTTCCCTCTCCCACACCTCCTGCTTTTGCTCTCTCCACCTGTCAAATAAAGAAAATATTTTTTAAAAAATGAGATAATTTTCTCAAAACCTGTGAGGCAGGAGATGGTGAGGACTCTGACAGCAGGGAGAAGTATATACTGCCTTAGGCAGAGCTGGGTTCATACCCAGGGCAGTGTCCTCCAACTTCCTTTTTTATTATGACACTCTCTTGCTATCAGGCACATCAGTTTTTTTTTGTTTGTTTGTTTGTTTGTTTTATTGTTTTTATTTTTTTATTTTATTATTATTATTTTTAATTTTTTAATTTTTAAAATATTTATTTATCTATTTATTTATTCATTCATTCATTCATTCATTCATTCATTCATGAGAGAGACAGAGAGAGGCAGAGACACAGGAAGAGGGAGAAGCAGGCTCCATGCAGGGAGACTGACGTGGGACTCGATCCAAGGACTCCAAGATCACACCCTGGGCCAAAGGCAGACACTCAACCGCTGAGCCACCCAGGCGTCCCTGGGCACATCAGTTTTTTCTCTTTGAATTACCACCTATAAAATGGGGATAATAATCTCAACCTTACAGGGGTCTTTGAGAGAATAACTGAGATAGCACAAAGAAAGCACCTTGCTCACTCCACAGTCAGTTCTCAATAAACACTATAGCCTTTTGCCTTTTAACCAACAGCTTATCCCTGTTTGACAGGTGACCTTAAGGATAGCATTTAACCTCTGTGACCTTTACCTTCCTTGTAAGGTGCTAGAAAGCGGGCCTCTGGGCCTCTGTTTCCCTATCAGTAAGCCAGGAATGACACCATCTACTTCATAGGCCAGTTTTAATACTAAAGGGGCAGGCTATGATGTGCTGCTGGTGAACAGCCAGTGCTCAACAGGTGATAGCCTATGATCCCACTCTCTTTCTGCAATTCCTGTCCATCTCTGAGCAAACTTAGTGGTTGGGAGACTCCTCCTGAGAGGCTCCTCCATGGTACCTTCTGCCCCAGGGCTGCCAACACTGGGGACAACCTGAGCACCATTCACCCCTAAAGGGCCCTCAAATGTGGACTCAAGGAGCCCCAGCTGCAAGCTCAACATCTCATGTACTTGCCTGCCCTTTAGAACCTGCATCTGTCGTCTGGGAACCAGTATAAAGGTGCCCCTAAGAGACTGTTAAATGGTGATGTGTATGGAACCACATGTGTAAGGTGAGCCCTGGCCCCATGGGCCATCCCTTCCTACCTGTAGGATGTCGTGTCTAGGCTCCTGGGATCCATCTGCAGAGACTCTGGGTGCCAGCTTTACAATGTTGCTCAGATCAACCCCTGTGGGGGAATACGGAGGAGTCAAGAAACAAGTGACAGTTTTATCCCCACAGGCCTGCTAGAACTACCTCATGTCCATTCTTATGGGACCACCCCACTTTGGAGGCCTACTCAGCTGCCCACCCCAACCCCTCCCTACCAGGGCCAAGCAGCCACATCCATATAAGGGATACAGGCTATGGGAGGGGGTGGTCTTTGCCCCTTGGTTCTGTCCAACTAATGGGAGCAGAGCAGTAGTGAGGCTGCAGGCCATCACCGCAGTGAGGGACACATTCTACCTGGTGGGTTAAGAGGGAAGGGGACCCCACAGCTTTCTCCCTTGGGGCTCCCATTGTTCTTCACCCTGGATGTACCCCTACCCTCCCTGACACCCCCAAGGGAAACCTCCACTGCATAAGACGCATCTGAGTATTTCTCCAGTCCCTGTTCAGTATCTATATCCCACTCTGTGCCCAGGACACCAGCCTCTGACCTCTGAAGCTGGACTCCCTGGGCTCCATTGCCTTCTTGCGTCAGACTGGGCTTGGCCAATGGAAAGTAGGACTTCAGATCAGGAGTGGGAGGGTGGGGTATTTACTCCCAGCTCCCTGCCTCCACCTCTGTTAGATGACTCCCCACCCCAGCCATGGCCTGTTGTGGGGCTGAGGAGGTCCCTGCTATGGCCAGCAGGGTCTCTTAACCCTACCCACATCACTGTAAATAAATGGTTCCCTCTTGACCGCTGTCCCCCATAGCCTGTTTTGAATATGCCACCTCTTTCCACAGGCTGTTGACCAATACCCCCTTTGGCTTCCATGAACTCAAGCCAGAACATAGGTAGGGCAGGGAGACAGGTGGCCCTGTTTCTTGGGAGGTGATCAGGAAAAGCCTCTTCAAGAAGTAGCAATTAAGGGGATCCCTGGGTGGCTCAGCGGTTTGGTGCCTGCCTTTGGCCCAGGGCACGATCCTGGAGTCCCGGGATTGAGTCCCACATCGGGCTCCCGGCATGGAGCCTGCTTCTCCCTCCTCCTGTGTCTCTGCCTCTCTCTCTCTGTGTCTATCATAAATAAAAATAAATAAATAAATATTTAAAAAAAAAAAGAAGTAGCAATTAAAATGATACCCACCTTGTAGGATTCGGCCCCACAGATGTCTAGGTGGGGTCGAGGCAAGTTAGAGGGAGGGCAAGAACAAAATGGGAGGTGGCCAGCCTGCTCAGAGCAGAGAAGCGACAGGGCCCAGGGCTGCCAAGCCAGGCAAGACAGAGCCATAGTAGGACATCAGTCTCCCACGTTAAGAGCTGTGGATGGTGATGACTATTAGGCAAAGAGCCAGACCAGCACTGGGACAAAGCCACACTGTCCTACCTTGTGATTCAAATTGTTCCACGGCCTCTTTTATTGCCTCCTCTGGTTGCATCTGGAACTCTTCAATGTTCTCATGAACAACTGCATCGAAGGTCTCCTGGGTGATGCGCTTGGAGGCCATCACCCACCTGATAGACACTCTCAAACTGAGAAATTAAGACAGGAAGAAAGTTTCATTGAGGGTGAGAGGACAACTATGAGTCTGGCTATCACTTGAGGAAGAGCTACCGGGGCCAGAGTGTAGGAATGCCAAGGAATAACTCTCAAAATCTGGGTCACAGGAAAAGCTGATACCCCACACCTACAGAGCTTGTAAAAGTGCAGAAGAGGGCAGGCAGTTTACAATTTATCTAAGAAAGAGAAGATGTTAATACAACATGTACCCTTCTAGTAAAAAAAAAAAAAAAAGATAAAATAACATTTTAACATTACACATATATTGTTACATGATAATGAAATTACAAATTACATGAAATCATTAAATATTACATTATATATCACGTTACTTATGATATACAATATGTTACAATATATAATACTAACTCTACTGCACTTTATTATACAGTTTGATATTTCATATGTAACTATGTAATAAAACTACTTACAGTGGTATGCGGTTATACCTATAAAAATTTTTAGTTTTCTATTTTTTATTTTATTTATTTATTTATTTATTTATTTATTTATTTATTTATTTCACACAGAGAGAGAGAGAGAGAGAGAGAGAGAGAGAGAGAGAGGCAGAGACACAGGCAGAGGGAGAAGCAGGCTCCATCCACCAGGAGCCCGACATGGGATTCGATCCCGGGTCTCCAGGATCGTGCCCTGGGCCAAAGGCAGGCGCCAAACCGCTGCGCCACCCAGGGATCCCTATAAAAAATTTTTTTCCCTATAAAAATTTTTAAATAAAAGTTAATAATGATAAATTAAATGGAATGCTAAATCAAAAACTAATAAGAATAGTTACCATAAGGGGAAGTAGGGAAAAGGGTGATGAGGACAGCACTAGAAGCTGGATTATTCTCTCCAAATGTATCTTGTTTCATGGTTTTGTTTTGTTTTTAAAAGATTTTACTTGAGACAGAGAAACAACACAAGTGGGAGGAGAGGGACAGAGGGAGAGAAAGAGGAAGAACGAGAACAGACTCCACACTGAATAAGAAGCCTGACTTGGGGGATGCCTGGGTGGCACAGCGGTTTGGCGCCTGCCTTTGGCCCAGGGCGCGATCCTGGAGACCCGGGATCGAATCCCACGTCAGGCTCCTGGTGCATGGAGCCTGCTTCTCCCTCTGCCTATGTCTCTGCCTCTCTCTCTCTCTCTGTGATTATCATAAATAAATAAAAAAAAATTAAAAAAAAAAAGAAGCCTGACTTGGGGATCCCGGGGTGGCGCAGCGATTTAGCGCCTGCCTTTGGCCCAGGGTACGATCCTGGAGACCTGGGATCGAATCCCACGTCGGGCTCCTGGTGCATGGTGCCTGCTTCTCCCTCTGCCTATCTCTGCCTCTCTCTCTCTCTCTGTGTGACTATCATAAATAAATAAAAATTTAAAAAAAAAGAAGCCTCACTTGGGGGCAGCCCTGGTGGCCCAGCGGTTTAGCACCGCCTTTGGCCTAGGGTGTGATCCTGGAGTCCAGGGATCGAGTCCCACGTAGGGCTCCTTGCATGGAGCCTACTTCTCCCTCTGCCTCTCTCTCTCCTCTCTGTGTTTTTCATGAATAAATAAAATCTTAAAAAAAAAAAAAATGGACTCCGGGATCATGACCTGAGCCGAAGGCAGACACTTAACCAACAAAGGAACCCAGGCATCCCCTTTGTTTCATGGTTTTAAGTTGAGAAACCATGTAAATGCTTTACATGGTTAGAAAAAGAAAGAAATTAATATAAACTAAAATAAAAATGAAAGGAATCTCTAAAAATTAGGAGTAAAATGAAACCCATGAATCTAATAGTATATCTATGTGGAGTTTAAAATATAGTGATAGAACCATATATTCTCACTGAGATGTACAATAAGGATAGAAAGAACTATAAAAGGAAATCTTCAACAGTTTTCAGTAATCATGTTACTGGAAATGATAATAGTAATGTTATCTGGAAGCCACTGTGGATATAGCAAATAAATAATAATGTTGATGTCCTTCGGAACTAGCATAATGGGACACCAGGGTGGCTTAGCAGTCTGCCTTCAGCTCAGGGCATGATCCTGGGATCCGGGATCAAGTCCCACAACAGACTCCTTGCAGGAAACCTGCTTCTTCCTCTGCCTGTGTCTCTGCCTCTCTCTCTCTGTGTGTCTCTCATGAATAAATAAATAAAAATCTTAAAAAAAAAAAAAGGAACTAGCATAAAACAAAAAATTCTAACACAAAAAAAATCCAAAAAGTAAAAACTCAGAAGTAAATTTGAATTGGAATTATCAATATAAACTCATGATATATTTTTCTCTCAAGTAAAGAACTGATGTTCTAGTGATATCAACTGAAAATACCTAGAGGAAATACCACATCCACAGTGGTAGTGAACACCCTGAATGCCAGCAATAGTCTTAAGTACCGTTTTCCCAACAAAGAAGACTTTGTTGGGAAAATGGCTGGAGGAATGGCTGATTCTATGACTCAGAAGAAAACAGGCCAGAGAAGCCAAGCTGGGAGCATCTTGTCATACCAGGAAGCAAGGAAACTTCAAAAAACCATCAGGGTCACGTCAAAGGACTGGGAGCAAACCCTAAGAGATGCTCATGGGCCCAAGTGACAGGTGAGCGGCTAAAATAAAACAGGATACAACAGATACAAAAATCTGTGTGTTCATAATAGTACTAAAACATACCCTGCTCATTTTGCTGAAAACTGACAAATAAAGAATATAGCAACCATCCTACTTCCCTCATATAATTAATTACCAGATTATAAAAACAGGAAGAGGAAAAGTTCTGCTTTGTAGGTGAATTCCAACTAATTGTCCACAACAGGACAAATTTAGATAACAATCTCCATAGGCTACAAAACTGTGAGGAGCAAAACTGATGGAGGACCACAATTAGTAGACAGTACCCTCCTCCACTGTGTGATTTCACATCACCAGCAAAGATACCCAACATTACTTGCCTCCAGACAAGAGTGAAATTCACCTGTGAAGTTTTCTTGCCAAAACCTCAAACCCAGGGGCACCTGGGTGGCTAAGTAGTTGAGCGTCTGCCTTTGTCTCAGGTAGTGATCCCAGGGTCATGGGATTGAATTCCACATAGGGCTCCCTGTGAGGAGCCCAATTCTCCCTCGGCCTATGTCTCTGCCTCTCTCCGTGTGTCTCTTATGAATGAAGAAATTTAAAAATCTTAAAAAAAAAAAAAGTTAGGGGGACATAGGTACAGCAAGTACTAGGACAGCAGTAGGGGGAATGTGGCAAAAATCCGAGCACAAATTTGGGCTGATTGGGAAACAGGCCACTCAAGCCCGCAATTCTCTTTGTGGAGGTGGCACGGGATATGCATATGACATCTGGGTGGCTCAGTGGTTGAGCATCTGCCTTCGGCTCAGGGCATGATCCCAGGGTCCTGGGATCAAGTCCCACATAGGGCTCCCTGCAGGGAGCCTGCTTCTCCCTCTGCCTAGGTCTCTGCCTTTCTCTGTGTGTCTCCCATGAATAAATAATCTTAAAAATACATATATTCCATCTGTGTTTGTGCAGATGTTTTGAGGGAGGAGTAGAACAGGCTCTAGGGCCGGTAGGGGGGACTTGAATCCCAGGCCCTCCACTTAACCTCACTGTTGGTCAGCTCTCTCATATGTGTCATGGGGATAAACAAAAAGAATCTACCTCATGGGACTGTAGTAAAAATTCAACCAGTTAATCCCTATAACATGCTTAGTATAGGAATTTGGCACAGAGTAAGAGCTCAATAAACATTAGCTATTGTTCCCTTCCTTTGTTGCTTAGAGGTAATTCAATCAGTTTAATTGGGGTGAGAGGCATAAGGGCATCCCTTGCTCCCTTGCAGATAGCCCCCCTACTTCTTTCTGCCCCAGAAGAACAAGTAGCCCGTTTAAGGATTGCTAAGGAGTTTCATGGTCAAAGGTGGAGGAAAAGAGTAAGGATTGTCTGTTTCAATAAAGAGCTTCTGAGTGAGACAACCAGGCTGGTATATGTGGGGGGTGGTGTTCCTGACCAGTTCCCAGGGACAGGAACTTCCCAGCTGGGGCTGTTGGAAAGACTCTGTTCCTGACTGCCACCAAATGATGCTTCCACCACCCTGGCCATGCTTCAGACCTAAATGGGCCGACAGTGAGTGGCCACCTTGTCAGAGAGACAGTTCTAAAGGCGAGTATCATCATGCCTACTTTATGGATGAGAAATCTAAAGTTCAGAGAGGGGAAGTACCTGCCAGAGATCACACAAGCAGTAAGAGGCCTGGCCATCATGCCACCCTACTTCATGAACACCTTCCCTCCACCTGGGTTCTCTGTGGAGTTTCTGCTAGCTCTTCTAGGCTGCCTCTTCCTGGGAGCCTTCCCTGACGGCTTAGAACCTGTATGTGCTCTCTGGCCTTGGCTCCTCTGCCCCATGAACCTCCCCCTGCCCAGTCCTGAGCTTGGGAGATCAATGTCTGGCTCTGTGGCCACCTCTATAGCAAGTCTTACAGGGGTCACCTAGGTTGGGCACAGGGCTAAGTAGCAAAAATGAAAATACATATCTGGAGCTCATGAGAAAGGCAATGCCTAGGAATAGTCGTCTGGGAGCCACCTGGGAACAGTCCAGAATAGGAAAGAGGGGAAAGAGCACCAGCCCCCATGATGTGACGGTCAAAAGTGTGCTGAAGGAAAGGGAGTTAGCAAGACCCCAAATGACGGCCAATTTCCTAAGCCAGGGTTCTGTTCATCAAGAAAACAGTGTCCTGACATGGCAGGGACTCTAAAGACTCCTCATCTTCCTCCACACCAACACACTCACCCTGGTTCAGGCACAATTTTCCCTATGGGTGGCCTCACCAGCTTCTTCCCTGCCACACTCTGTGCCTCTATTCTCCACTCAGCAGCCAGAGAAAAACTTGAAATCACAAAGCCACCTCACTGCTCAAATCCTGCAGTGGCATCCCAATCCTCTCAACAAAATCCAGGCTACTTACCAGCACTTTCTCTACGTGGACCTTACCTAGGTCTCTTACTGCGCTTTCCCAACTTTTTCTCATCCTTCCCAGACACCGAAGGGACACTCTTCATAACCATCTGGTTAAAGCAACACCCCCGCCCCGGCCATCGCATCATCCTTTTATTTGAATACTACATCTACCTGGAGCGACACGGTTCATTTTCTTTCTTTTCTTTCTTTTTTTTTTTTTTTTTTGCTTTTACTGTCTAGCCTCCTCCCTAATTAAATTTTACCTCTACGAGACCAGGGGTTCGGTCAACTTTGTTTACCACCTTCCCCCCTGCCCAGGATGGAGCCAGACACGCAGCAGGCACTCAGGTCCATAGGTTATGAATGAATGAATAAATGAAAAGAAAGCGGAGGGCAAGGAAATGGCGGATTTTATCCCCCGGCGGCTTCTGTAAAAGTCATTCCCCAAAACCAAGTCCCCGAGGGCGGCGCCAGTCACCAGCCCGACCCCGCGGCGCCCACTCCCCTTCCCGCGCGAGAGGACTCCGCAGCCGCCGCTTCTCACCCGGTTTTCGCAGCCACGTGGGGAAAGGGTGGGGCTCGCGACTGTCACCGGCAGAACCACCTCTGGTCCCGTCCGGCCACCGTACGCGCGCAGGCGCGCTGGCGCCAACTCGCCTCGGCCTCCCTCCTCCTCACCGACTGCTCCCGGAGTGACCACGGGGGACCGCGAGCGCAGGTAGAGCCGAGAGAGCCAACAGGTATGCGGCGGCGGCTGCTTTGCCGCCTCTTCCCAGCCGCTCCCCTTTGCCGCCGCCCTCAGCAAATTAGCATTTCGCCTCAGGAGTGTCTGCTCTGTAGAAGCGAGCAACGCGCCTGCGCAAGGGGACTTCGCGGCGGCCGCCTGCGCTTGCGCACCAGGGCTCGGCGGTGGCTTGCGCCTGCGCGGCGTGGCGCTGCGGAGACCGTTGGCTCATTTGCATGTCCCCGCCTCGCGCGGCGGCGGTGGCGGCGGGTGAGGAGCTTGAGGCGGCGGCGGGGGCGGCTCCGCGCGCGGTGGGTTCGGGGTGAGGCCTGGGCCCGGGAGTCTTCGGTGGGCGGGCCCTGGGTAGGAGGCTCGGGTTCGGCTCCGGGGATCCCGGGTCCCCGCGATGACGCCGCGAGCTCGGCCCTCCGGCTGCGCGTCGGCCGCGTCCGGGTCGGTTCGGCCTCGGGGGCGGTCTTCGGCCTCCCAGGCCCGACGCCCACTCTTCGTTCTCGGAGGCCGGTAGGAGGCGGGCCACGCCCGAAGGGGTTCATTCGTTCATTCATTCCACCCTCGAGGCTCCGCTCGTAGGGGGATTACAGCGGCCGACCTTCGGGTTCTTGACCATTTTTTACCTGGTTCAGTTCCCACAGCAGCGCCCACTATTAGCTGCCCATTCCATGGATGGGGAAGCGGAGGCGCAAAAAGGTTAGGTTACTCGATTTGATCCGGAGCCGCCTGACTGGGAGACCCTGGCTTTCGATAGCAGAGAACAAGGGGGGGCGCCTCTGGGAATTAAGGATGAGAAAAGGGGGTGATGATTTTAAGAAATGGCTCTCAGGTAGGACAGGGTTGGGTCTTGAGGTAGGAGGTTTCAAGATGGAAGGGATATTTTAGTTAAGGACGCAGCCACTGGGTCCCTCTGTTGCTTCTCAGTTTTGTTTTTTGTTTTTCCTAGTCAGTCTTCAAGGGCTTTGTCCCCGCTGCCGGTGCCCTGTTTTTCATTTTCGGTCTGGGCTCTTTGACCTTGGGTGGGTCACTTAGCCCGAGTCTTTCTCTTCTATATAATATCATTCATAACAGGACTCACTTTTCACTGAGTTGTTGGAAGAAGTAAAGGAGATTGTGAGAATCCCTTTCCTATAAGAGCACCTGGTACAGAGCAAGTTCTGTCACTAGCCAGGGATTGATTCCTCCACTCACTTGTTGAGAGATTGTTCTCAGAGGGCAAGTCAGTTCTCAGAGCCTCTTTTATGTCTGTGAAATGGGAAAGATCACATCTCTGCTAACCATCACTTGTGAGGGCAATGTTCCCACCCCTACACTGTTACGTTCAGTTGTGCGTTTCCTTCCTGCAGTTCTCCAGGAAACCCCAACAGACAGGGATTCTGAGAAAATGGACTCAGAGAAGCAAGATAAATGCTTGTATTGCTTTTTCTAACCATTACACCTATGAGCTCCTTGAGGGCAGAAGCCTCCTTCTGAAGCACCATGTTGAATTATAGATTACTGTCTCGTTACTTTGAGGATGAGGTGAAATTGAGCAGCCGGTGTGAGCATTAGTTGTCATTCTTAGTGTCTTTTTTTCCCCTTTCACTACAGGTCAGAGAAACATGGCAGCTAGGCGAATTGCACAGGAGACTTTTGATGCTGTATTGCAAGAAAAAGCTAACCGATATCACATGGACCCCAGTGGTGAGGCCGTAGGTGAAGCTCTTCAGTTTAAAGCTCAAGGTGAATTAAAGTGCTTGTTTTTTTGTGGGGGAGGGTAGTTACTGAAAGTGCTTTTAGGGTCAGGGCAGGAGAATATCAATGCCTTGGGCAAACTATGCAACTTCCCGGATCCTATCTTCCTTATTTTTTAAGGGGAGATAAAGTTATCTCTTGGTCTACCTGTCACATTATTATGTAGAAGTGGGTTTTGTCATTATCTGAAGTTTCTCTGCCCCAGGCATCCTACTCCACCTAAGAAGGGTTCTTGACTCAATCTCTTGGCTCCATCCCCCTCCTGCTACCCAGATTTGAGCGTTTATTCTCGCCTGGATTATTGCAGTAATCTCTTGAACCATCTCTCAGCTTCTGGCTCCATTCCCCTCAAATCAGCCCTCTCCAACAGATCTATTAATCTAGCCTTGCTGGGCCAACGCCCTACTTGGACTCTTGAGGCTCCCCATTTCAGAGTTACATCCTCAGACAAGTGCAGGAGCAACCAGGTAATAGTGCTGTGTACAAGATGAGGGCACAAGAGACTGCCAACTGTAGGCCCTGCCTGAAAACATTCGCTTTGGAAAGTTTTGGGAATATCATGACAGCAGAAGAAAAATGGTGCGTACATAGTTTGCAGGATGACAGGGAAGCCCTCGCCATGGCACACAAGGCTCCCAACCCTCATTTCCTGCCTTGAGGCTCAAGTTTCAGTGACACTGTCCTGCCTGTGCTTTGAATAGCTCCTCTTCCCAGCCTAAACTGGTGAAGTCTCTCAGGCACTAAGACCTAGCTTACACATGCCTTTCCCCAGGAAGCTCCTGCAGGCTTTGAGGTTGATTTGGTTGCTTTTCTGGGCCCCAAGGAAGTGCACTGAGCACTCACTTTTTTGAGGTAGGCCAGCCTCTTCTGGGCCTCCTTCAGGCCTGTGCTGTTCCATGTGCCAGCCCCTGAGCCACTTTCCAGTGAGGAAACTTCCTCAGTGTTGGTTGAATAAGGCTAAGTGCTTGGGGTAGGAATAACTTGTGTACTTTGGATGTGGAGAAACTGAAGCCTAGAAGCTAGCTTCAGATTCTGACTTTTTAAAAAATGCTTGAGTAGAATGTAAAAACATTCCTATTATAAAGGATTGGAAGAGTTAAGAAGTAGGAGTGTAACATAGAAGTCCTTAGCTGCTCCCTTACTCCTCAGAGGTAGCCATATATATGGTGTTTTATGAAACCTTTAGTTCTTCTAGTGGTACATTTATGTAATCCTAAATAGTTACATAGTGATATATGTATAAACGCATGTTTACATGTATATGTTTATGCATATGTATACTGTATGCGTGTGTATTTGGAGATTTAAGTCTTGGTTTATTTTAATCTAGAGAGTCAAACATCAATATATATTTTAGTTTCCTCAAGAAAGATAGGGGGCAGAAACTGTACTAGGAAACCAGCAGGATGCTAGATGGTTCTGTAACCACCACTTTGTCACATAGCTAGCTTGCATGGTTCCCCAGTCAGCCTTTCACTGTCTTCTAGTCTGTATTGGTTTATAAAGTATCTGAAAATCCTGTTGTGCAGACTCCATCCACCACTCTCCCTAATGCTACTGCCCTAACAATGCCATCAATAGCCATCAGTACCTGGATTACTTTTTGTTGGAACATCCATATCCGCTCTTGTATTTGAGTCAATTCTTTGAACAGCAGCCAGTGAGGTGGCCTCTTTGCTTCAAAACCCTTCAGGGCTTTCCATTTTGTTCAGAATAAACTGTAGAGTCCAGTAAAGGGCCTGACTTGATCTGTTACTCCATTCTGTTCACATCTTCTAACATAGTGGTTCCCTAAGTTTGCTGCTTGTTAGAATCATCTGATTAGCCCGGGGAGGGGCAAAGGGGGAATGAGAGGGACAAGCCAACTTGGCACTGAGCGGGGAGCCTGCAGGGAACTCAGTCTCATGAACCTGAGATCATGACCTGAGCTGAAATCAAGAGTCTGATGTTCAGTGGACTGAACCACCTAGGCACCCCCTGGGGACCCTTTAATAACCCTAATGCATGGACCACACCCCATCCCAATTAATTAAATGAGGATGCCTGGGGATCCCCAAGGACCCCATTGTGCAGTAGAGTTTAGGAGCCACCTTCTTACCACTTCGCCCTTTGTTCTGCTGTTCCATTTTGGCTATATTTGTTCCCTGCTAGTCTTACCTCAGGCTTTTGTCTTGATGCTGCTTCTGCCTAGAAGGCTTCCCCCATAACTGCAGAGTCTGGCTCCTTACACTAAGTCTCTGCTGCTCAGATACATTGCCATTGGAGCAGCCCACCTTGACCAGCCTTTCTGAAAATGGCTCTCTCTCTTCATGTTCCTGCCTGCTTAATATTTCTCAGTAGCACTTTCATGTGATGGATTTTTATTTATTGTTTGGCTCCCTCAACTGACAAATCCAGGGGAGTGGGGACTTTGCTGTCTCCTTTCCCTGCTGTAGTTCTATAGCCTAGAGCAGTGCCTACACACAGTAGTTGCTCAACATATACTTGTTGAACAAATAAATTTGGGTTTATACAAAGCTCTAGTTTCCTGTGGTCTCTTGGCCCATTACTACTTCCTGGGATCTCCTTCTCCCTTTTCTTTTATTTGAATTGACTAAGTAATAGATTCTGATGCACAAGTTAGAAAGTTAGAAAGCTACTCTGCAAAGTCTTCCTGAGGCTTGCTGTTCTCATATGTCCATAGTTCACATCTGTTCTTGGCTTCTTACAGAATTTTTTTGTGTGTGAATAAGCAAATGTAAATTTAGGTTCATATTTTTCTCCTACGTATACTCTTCAGTTTTCATTGTGGCCTCTCTTGCTATGTCTTATTTACCTTCTGTGTACTCTTTTATCTGCCTTAGTCTCTCTTTTTTTCAGAGAATTGATTAGCCCAGTAGGCCTTTCCAAGGGAGTCTATCTGCCACCTGTGGTTCGGGTGCTCAGAAGTGGTTGGCTGTGGTGGGTGTAGTGTCAGACGAGGCTCCTGCCTTAGTGGCACTGTGATCTAACACATACTTCTCAGAGGGAAGGAGGGCAGGCAGTCTCCAGAAAAATTGTCAACTGTCTGGTAGAAGTAGAAATATATAAGGGTTGCAGTTGAAATAAAGGAGTCCAGGTTGTTTGGGGTTCAGAGATCCATCCCTGAGTCTAAAAGAGGGCTTTAAAACAGATGCCTGCAGAGCCTAGACAGGAAGGCCAAGTGAGTGAGGGGTACTAACTGCCTAGCTTCTGTGGACTGTTGTCCAGCACATGCAGGCCCAGTGCTTATAGATCTTCTGTTTTTATAAATATAAATCCAGATTTTTAAGTTAAGCCACACACATTTTAAATGTTGAAAACAAATACAAATTTCTAAAATGCATTCTGGCAAATAAAGGGTCCCTGCTGACTGGTGGTCTGTGGACTATCTTTTTGCAACCTCTGGTCTAAATTATCTTTGTGTTCCTCTTTGGATCGTTATTTTCAGATCTTCTAAGGACAGTCCCAAGAGCAAGAGCAGATATGTATGATGACATTCCTAGTGACAGCAGATACACTCTGGCTGGATCTGTAGCCCACCCTCGAGACACTGGGAGAGAAAGCTTAAGAGGTGATGTGTTTCCAGGACCTTCTTTCAGATCAAGCAATCCTTCTGTAAGTGAAGACAACTACTTTCGCAAAGAGTGTGGCCGGGATCTGGAATTTTCCCACCCTGATTCCCGAGACCAAGTTTTTGGCCACCGGAAATTGGGACATTTCCGTTCTCAGGATTGGAAATTTGCACTCCGTGGCTCTTGGGAACAAGACTTTGGCCACCCCGTTTCTCAAGAATCCCCTTGGTCACAGGAGTATAATTTTGGTCCTTCTGCACTGCTTGGGGACTTTGGTTCCTCTAGGCTGATTGAGAAAGAGTGTTTGGAGAAAGAAAGTCGGGATTACGACGTGGACCGTCCAGGGGAGACAGACTCTGTGCTCAGGGGCAGTGGCCAAGTCCAGGGCAGAGGCCGAGGTCTAAACATCGTTGACCAGGAAGGGGCCCTTTTAGGAAAGGGAGAGACTCAGGGCCTGCTCCCATCTAAAGGGGGAGTTGGGAAACTTGTCACACTAAGAAGTGTGAGCACGAAGAAGGTACCCACTGTAAATCGTATTACTCCCAAAACTCAGGGCACCAACCAAATCCAGAAAACCACCTCAAGTCCTGATGTGACCCTGGGGACAAACCCAGGAACAGAAGATATCCAGTTTCCCACTCAGATCCCTTTGGGGCTCAATCTGAAGGATATTCGGCTTCCCAGAAGAAAGATGAGCTTCGACCTCATAGATAAGTCTGATGTTTTTTCAAGATTTGGGATAGAAATAATCAAATGGGCAGGATTCCACACCATAAAAGATGATGTTAAATTTTCCCAGCTTTTCCAGACTCTCTTTGAACTCGAAACCGAAACCTGTGCTAAAATGCTCGCTTCATTCAAATGCTCCTTAAAACCAGAGCACAGAGATTTTTGCTTTTTTACGATCAAATTTTTAAAGCACTCTGCTTTGAAAACACCCAGAGTTGATAATGAGTTTTTAAACATGCTTTTAGACAAAGGTGCTGTGAAGACCAAAAATTGCTTTTTTGAAATCATAAAGCCTTTTGACAAGTACATAATGAGGCTTCAAGACCGCCTTCTGAAGAGTGTCACACCCCTGCTCATGGCTTGCAATGCCTATGAGCTGAGTGTCAAGATGAAAACCCTCAGTAACCCCCTGGACTTGGCTGTTGCCCTGGAGACCACCAATTCTCTCTGCCGGAAGTCTTTAGCCCTTTTGGGACAGACTTTCTCCTTGGCCTCTTCTTTCCGGCAAGAGAAAATCTTAGAAGCTGTTGGCCTCCAAGATATAGCTCCCTCTCCTGCCGCATTTCCAAATTTTGAGGACTCTACTCTGTTTGGGAGAGAATACATTGATCACCTGAAGGCCTGGCTGGTCACCAGTGGGTGTCCACTTCAGGTCAAGAAAACTGAACCTGAACCTACCCAAGATGAGGAGAAAGTTGTTCCTCCTACCAAACTCGAAGTTCAGGCCAAGTCTCCGAGTGGTCTCAGTGATGGTAAGGAAAGCGCTGAAAGCTCTTACTGTGATTAGTTTGTTTTTCATGTTTTCTTGTAATGTCTCTTTTTTCTTTGAGCATTTTATACAGAAGTGTTGTAGCCAACTGGAAACATCAGAATTTTGGTAGAAAACTCATTGGCGAGTGTTCATGTCTGCTATTCATTCTGTAAGCATATGTTCGAAATCTTCTGTTTGTCTACCACAGAGTCCTTAGACATTTATGGGTCACAGACTCCTTTGGGAATCTGATCAAAGCTGTGGCCTATGCCAGGAAAAATGCATATGTATTTGTACACAGTTCTCCCTGTGTTTTGGTAGGGAGGGTGTTGTACCTTCCTGTAGCCAAGGTTAAGAAGCCCTTATTACAGCATCTCCCTCCCCCCACACTAAGGTGTTAGTAGATAGGAAAGTAAATACTGGACACTGTCCTTGGGGTGTCCTCAGGCTTCCAGGGACAGAAGTCACAAAGCCCAATTCCTCCTGAGCCAGGAGGGGAATGGAAGAGACCCCAGCCCAGAAGAGTCAAGGAGGCCATGTTTGAGCTGTGTTGAGGGACCAGCAGAGATTAGCCAGGCTGGTCCAGGTAGTAGAACCACCTTTCTTCCTACTCCCTTTTCTAGGGTGACTAAAACCCAATAGTGGATCAGTTATGTACAGCAGATAACCTGCAGTTAACGAGTCAGCTTTGGGAAGATTCTACAAAGGCCAAGAAAGAGGAAATAGAAACAATTGGCTGTTGGGTATTCCTTCTCTTTCCTTCTTAGCACTGGGGATGGATGCTCTCCTAGCCCAGACATCCCAGAGGTCATGAGCATATGTAGTGGCCATGTGACCAGAGAGGAAGCGCTTGCGCACGCACACACACACACACACACACACACACACACACACACACCCTTAACCTCAGGAGGAATTCCTTTTCCAACAAAGCAGTTTTCAGCTTCCATTGTCCCAGCCAAGTGGAAAAGCCTTGTTTGTCCCTGAATCTCTTTATTCCTTTCCACCCTTATGGACCCCTGACTGTATCAAGCACTGGTGGGTAGGTCCCACCAATGGATGGGCAGCCACACCTATCTATTCCTGGAGAGGGAGCCTTCCAGAAATGGGCTCTGGGCTAAAGCAGGACCCCTCCTCCCCACACCCCCCAAAGTGGGGGAGTGGAAAGTCAGTGTAATGACGATACTGAAGAACTTTGTATGAAGGAGGAAAAAGTCACTTACCATTCCCTGGTTCTGTTGCTATCCAGGTGCACTAGAAGCAGCAGTCTTGCTGTACTGAAAACACTACAATCTGTTCTTTTACAGGATTATCAAAGGCCTTTTTCTGTGTTTCTACAGTATTTGCTGCATCATGATATTAACCTAACATAAATTATCTCACTCTTCCCTTGATGTGGGACTTATGCTGCCTTTTACTTTTCCCTTAATGTGAACATTCTAGTTAAGTGGTATATACAAGCCTTCTGAGGCTGAGCCAGGTTCCCTTGTAATTGACATCTGCAAGCTTGGGCTGTCTGGGCAGCAGGCAGATGGCACCAGCACCCATGTCTCGTGGGGCATTGCCTCGTCACTGCTTCCATTACTGTTAGAAATGCTGAGATGCCAACTTCAGTTGAATGTTTTGATTACTACTATTGTTAGTTTTTATTTTTAAGTTCTCCTTTATAGAATATGATCTGGGGAAGAGGATTGTAGCACCAAAGCTGGGACGCTTGCTTATGGTTGCCTTCTTGAAACATGGTTGCAGTGATCCACAGATTGCATTGTTTTTTAAAGCTCCTGACTTTGAACCTCTTATTCTTCTGTAAGATCATGTAAAACTAGCAGTTCTGTAAAATGAGAGCCGATAACAAAAAAAGAAAAAGGAAAGAAAAAGGAAGCAATTTCAAAGGGGAAATAGTTGTAGTAGCATGACAATTGAAGAATCCATTTAATCAGTGTAAAGAGCTCACACTGTTTGTTGTTTAAAATAAGCTCAAAGCTTCAACTTAGACATAAGCAAGGACAGGACAGTGCAATTACTCCACAGAACAAACTGGAAAACCTCCCTAGTTCAGGAGTGATTTTTACCAAATGACTAAGATTGTTCTGTGCAATTAAAACTAAACAATCTTCTTAATTGAGGGCACAGATCCTTTTCTGTGTTGCCAGTGACATTGTAAATTAAAAGTCTATTGAAGAAGGGGCCGGGCCCCTGGGTGGCTCAGTTGGTTAAACGTTCAACTTTTGATCTCAGCTCAAGTCTTGATCTCAGGGTCGTGAGTTCAAGCCTCCTGTTGGGCTCCACGCTGGGCCTGGAGCCTACTTACACACACACAGACAAATACACACCTCACTGAAGGTGAATATATGAAGAAAAACATTTCTTTTCATATATTCAGTAAATATTTCTGTGAACACCTATCTTAGGGCCACTGACTTTTTTGATTAGGGAATTTTTCTTTGCAAATTTATATATATGTTTTCTGATTATAAAACAGATTTTTTTAGATAAAGCACAAAGAAAATGAAGTCTCTGGTAAATCTTCTACCCATTGATAATACCTATTAAGATTGCGGCATATTTCCTTTTTCTTTTTTTCTGTGTCCATATTTACGTATCTTTTCTTCCTTCCTTCAACGAATCATAACCTAGATTTTTTTTCTGTTTTTTTTATACCTAGCCACGTTTTATATCTTTATATTTTTCCCTTAATGTGAACATTTTAGTTAAGTGATATATACAAGCAGAATAGATTTGCTGCATACCATTTCGTTATACAGTGTATATGCATATATTGCTCTGTACAATTATTGTAAGCTTGTGACTTTCTCTCCTAGTGCTTATGCTTTTCAGTCTTTTGGGAGGATACTTTGGGTATTGGTTTTTAGAAAACGGTGCTGCTTTTTCTTTTCAATGCTGATTTCATGTGAATAAGGATTTTGGTCACCAGCGCCTGCTTAGGTTCCATCCTAAGCCTCTGACTCTGTACTGGTCGTCCCAGGCCCCATGTGGTCCAATAGCGTTTCTCAGAAAAGCCCTTTTGTGTGTTCCAGCTGTCCCCCAGCGAGCGGATCACAAGGTGGTGGACACCATCGATCAGCTGGTCACTCGTATTGTCGGAGGCAGCCTATCTCCCAAAGAGAGAGCTCTTCTCAAGGAGGACCCTGCTTACTGGTAGGTCTTTAAATTTTGGTCCTCCAAATCCCTCCCATAGAACACACGGCAAAATATGTGTTTTGATGGTATCCAATGAAGAGGGTGAGGTATTTATTTTGAGTAGTGGTATCAGCCAGTGGGAAGAACATGAGGGAGGGTGAGGTTCACCTGCATTCAAACCCCAGCCCTGCTGCAGACCTGCCATGTGGCCTTGTCCCTCTGCACTGGCTTAGGGAGGAGGTAGGAGGCGTATGCCAAGAGCACATGAAGATAAGGAATGTGTCACAGCAGTTGTTCATGACTTATTCCTGCTATTTGTTAAACTCTTCTTCTTTTGCCTTATTTCCTCTTCACCTGAATGGAACAACTTTTGAAAATTAAAATTTTCACCATAAATACAGTACTTATTAGAGGAAGTCAAGAACAATAAAGTTAGAAGGAAGCCACCCTTATGCCTACCAACGTCTACTGATAGTTTTGCCTATTTGCTTCCTATCTTTCTGCTCACTGTGGGCTATTTGGGGCTTTTTTTAAATGTAGCTGTGATTTTACTATAATATATCCCACTCTGGATTTATGTATTTATTTTTCCCGCTTATTTTATTTTATTTTATTTTATTTTATTTATTTATTTTTATTTATGACAGTCACACAGATAGAGAGAGAGAGAAGCAGAGACACGGGCAGAGGGAGAAGCAGGCTCCATGCACCAGGAGCCCGACGTGGGATTCGATCCCGGGTCTCCAGGATCGCGCCCTGGGCCAAAGGCAGGCGCTAAACCGCTGCGCCACCCAGGGATCCTTTTCCCGCTTATTTTAGATAACACAGGAAAATGCTCGTATTCCTTATTTTTCTTTTCTTTTTTTTAAGATTTTATTTATTCATGAGAGACACAGAGAGGGAGAGAGAGGCAGAGACACAGGCAGAGGGAAAAGCAGGCTCCATGCAGGGAGCCCAGTGTGGGACTCGATCCCAGGACTCCAGGATCACGCCCTGGGCCAAAGGCAGCGCTAAACAGCTGAGCCACCCCGGGCTGCGCTCTTTATTTTTTATAAACATTTTCAGACAGCTGCATTTACTAGTTTATAGAGAAAGTGGCCAGAGTTTAGTTAGCCATTCCTCTCTGGTTAGATTTTCAGAATGATTTTTTTTTTTAATTTTATTTATTTATGATAGTTACACAGAGAGAGAGAGAGAGATAGAGGCAGAGACATAGGCAGAGGGAGAAGCAGGCTCCATGCACCAGGAGCCCGACGAGGGATTAATTACATCCTGGGTCTCCAGGATCGTGCCCTGGGCCAAAGGCAGGCGCTAAACCGCTGCGCCACGCAGGGATCCCTTTCAGAATGATTTTGATTGTATACTGTTTCGAACTGTTCCAGTGAATGGCTTAATGCATCATATTTTCTTGTGTGTTTAGGATTATCTCTAGGTTAGATTGCTGTAAGTGAAAATTTTTCACATTATACCTATTTTTTTTTTTATTTTTTTTTTATTTTAGGGATGCCTGGGTGGCTCAGGAGTTGAGCTTCTGCCTTTGGCTCAGTTTGTGATCCTGGGGTGCCGGGATCAAGTCCTTCATCAGGCTCCCCAGAGGGAGCCTGCTTCTCCCTCTGCCTATGTATCTGCCTATCTTTCTGTGTCTCTCACGAATAAATAAATCTTTTTTTAAAAAAAAGATTTAAAGATTTCGTTTATTTATTTGTGAGAGATACAGAGAGGCGGAGACACAGGCAGAGGGAGAAGCAGGTTCCCTACAAGGAGCCCGTTGCAGGACCTGATACAGGACCTGATCTCGGACCCCAGGATCACGCCCTGAGCTGAAGGCAGATGCTCAACCCCTGAGCCACCCAGGCATCCCAAGATTTATTTTTAAAGATTTTATTTATTGAGAAAGAGTGTGTGCATGTGAGCAGGGGACGAACAGAGGGAGAGGGAGACAATCTCCAGCAGACTCCATGCTGAGCGCAGATCCCAAGATCATGACTTGAGCCAAAACCAGAGTCGGACACTCAAATGACTGAGCCACTCAGGCACCCCTAACTTTTTTTAAAATCATGAAGGTGGCATATGTGCTTTGTAAAAATAGAAAAAAGCAATAAAGATACTATCACTTAAAGCTCCACCACTTCTCCCTCTCAGTGCATCCTATATTTCAAATCTAACGTCACTGTTCTTGTTAACAGTGGTTGTGTGCTCTTGATTGCACACAGGTACCCTAGCATACTCACCGTTGCTCATTGGAGTTCTTAGATTCATCCTGGTTTTTCCCTGCTGTAAATACCATTATGATGAACAATGTTTTGCTTGTATTTCTGTCTACATTCCTGGTAGTTTATTAGAGTAATATCTGGGAGTGAAATTGCTGGATTAAAGAGAAAGTTAACTTTATTTTTAAAGAGAGTTTTGTTTTTTCTTTTTTTTTTAATGCTTTTATTTATTTATTCATGAGAGACACACACAGAAAGAGGCAGACACATAGGCAGAGGGAGAAGCAGGCTTCACACTCGAAGCCCGATGTAGGACTCGATTCCGGGACCCCAGGATCACATCCTGAGCTGAAGGCAGACAGACTCAACCACTGAACCAGCCAGGCATCCTGAGAAAGTTAACTTTAGAGGCTTTTGATCTCTGTCACTTTTTCCTGGCCATAGCATGATTGGTTTTTGAGACTGGATAATCCTCTGGTAGGGACTGTCCTGGGCTTTGCAGGATATTAGTGGCATCCTTGGCCCCCCCCCATGTGGATGCCAATAAAATCTTCCATCCCAGGTGCTGCCCACTGAGGGCAGGAGTTGCCCCTGGTGAAGGTCATCAATCTTTATCATCAGGTTACTTTCTGTGGATTATCTGTCCCAGTTGGCACCTGCTGCCACTCTGTAAACATGCCATGCCTTCATCTGTGTTTTGACTTAAAGATAATTTCATAGTGTGATGTTTTACTTCTTATTCCTTTGTTAATTAACAAAGATTATAAGTTTCCTCCTAATATGTCTAGTTGTAGTTCCTCTTTTTGAGTGTTTATTCAGGTCTTGCATGATCAACATTGTACACATACTGAACTCAGTATTTTTGGTGTTGTAATTATTATAGATGCTTGAAAGGCATAAATTTACATGTAACAGTACTAGAGTTTTGGTGTTAACCAGCATGATTTACCACGGGAGGGTTGGAGCTTGTTTGGTTTTATTTTTAAATAATTATTGGACTCATTTGGATTATTTTCATGTTCAGAATGAGGTAGGCTTTTTAAATTAAAAGTTAAAAAAAAAAGCCCAGGGGATTCCTGGGTGGCTCAGTGGTTTAGCGCCTGCCTTTGGCCCAGGGCATGATCCTGGAGTCCCCGGATCAAGTCCCACATCGGGCTCCCTGCATGGAGCCTGCTTCTTCCTCTGCCTTTGTCTCTGCCTCTCTCTCTCTCTCTCTCTCTCTCTCTCTCTCTCTGTCTCTCATGAATAAAAAAATAAAAATCTTTAAAAAAAAGCCCAATAAATTAATTGTTCCGTCATCAATTATGAACAACTTAATTACCAAACCTTTTGCCTTCTCTGCACTTGATACTATTGTAGGTGCTTTTCTGATTTAAGCACTAGTTGATTCAGTCCTCATAAACCTCGTGAGGCAGGTATTTGTCATTCTTATTTTATAGATAGGAAACTTGAGACTCAAAGAGACCTCTTTTTACTTCAAGAGTGCAAAGCTAGGGATCCCTGGGTGGCGCAGCGGTTTGGCGCCTGCCTTTGGCTCAGGGCGCGATCCTGGAGACCCGGGATCGAATCCCATATCGGGCTCCCGGTGCATGGAGCCTGCTTCTCCCTCTGCCTGTGTCTCTGCCCCTCTCTCTCTCTCTCTCTCTCTCTGTGACTATCATAAATAAATAAATTTTAAAAAATTATTTAAAAAAAAAAAGAGTTCAAAGCTAGTAGGACAGGGTCAAGATTCTCATCTAGACTCTTGCTCTTAATCAGTGTGCCTGCTGGAAGGAGGAAGCTAGATAGCTTCAGACTGACAGGTGAAAGTAGAGACCAAACCCTCTTGGGTAAGGTACTCTCAAGACTTGGAAGGCCCAGGGGCAATCTCCAGGTGATTGGGCTAGAGGGAAACAGGACCCTGGGAAGACTGGGGGCATGTGACTCTGTATCATGACCCACTAGGCTCATGATCACTGACAGCAAATGGTAACAGAAACATAGAGTTGTATGTATGTGGTGTGGAGTACAAAATCAGAAATAAGCATTGAATTAGAAATATTTGAGGAAAATCAACATCATAAAGGAGAATTACCAAACTTAACAAATGGAGCTGCTACCTGTGAAGACAGAGTTACAATAAGGAAAAAAATCTGTCTCAAAGTGTAAGTGTATAATTAATAGTCTTAGTGAATAATAGTATATTGTATCCATGAAACGAGCTTTTTGTTTTTGAAAAGAACCTGTTAAAGTTCTTGGAACTGAAAAATCAGATTGTTGAAATAAAAATCTCAGTGGTTGGCTGATAGTATAGACCCAGATAAAGAACAGATTGGGAGCTAGACTCAGACTTGACTCCCTGAAACCTTCAGAAGGAATTACCAGAGACTATCAGAGGAGATGATGTGGTGGCAAGAAAGAATCATAAGAAACTAGCAAGCTTAGGGCTTTGGTGTGAATGTTTGAATTCTTTTTTTTTTTTTAATTTTAATTTATTTATGATAGTCACACAGAGAGAGAGAGAGAGACAGAGGCAGAGACATAGGCAGAGGGAGAAACAGGCTCCATGCACCAGGAGCCCGACGTGGGATTCGATCCCCGGTCTCCAGGATCGCGCCCTGGGCCAAAGGCAGGCGCCAAACCGCTGCGCCACCCAGGGATCCCTGAATGTTTGAATTCTTAAAGGAGCACATGTATGTGTTTATCAAAAATATCAATTGAATTAAGAAAACAAGTGTTTCTGCTTTGACCAGTTCCCATTCCATTCTACTCCTTGGAGGCAGTCTCTTTTGGTATTTTAAGCTACTTCTAACAGATACTCTTGGTGATAAATAAGCCTGTGTTGCTCTTCCTTGATCTATCAGTTTTAGGCATCATATGGATACCCTAATGAAAATAAGTGAGGATTTAGCTCACTCCCCTCTCAGTCGCTCATCAGAAAGCCGCCTTCCTGCTAGGCTCCAGTGCTGTGTTAGGTTATTTTTATTAGTTAAATGAAAAGTTCAGACCTTAGGAGATAATGGGAGTAAGAAGGATTTCTGTTTTCTCCATCTTTCGAGATACAGCAGAGATTTGAGACACCTCCCACCCCCAACACACAAGGAGGAAAAAACACTGGTTTGTTCACAGCTGGGCCTTGTGGACAGAACTGGCCATTGCCTCTCACTGAGGTGGCCTGCCCCTTCTGGTGCACTAAAATAACAGCAGTGCAAATACCCACAGCAACTTTGCTTCCTTGTTTGGAGCACAATGGAAACCTTTTTTTTTTTTTTTAGTAGGTTCCACACTTGGTATCTTGGTATGGAGCCCAGTGTGGGGCTTGAACTCACAACTCTGAGGTCAAGACCTGAGTTGAAACCAAGAGTTGGACATTTAACTGACTAAGCCACCCAGGCATCCCAGTAGTTGGGAACCTTGATGCCTAAACTGTGTAGCTTAGAGCTGTGTAAATAAATAACACTTAGAAATATAAGAGGAATTGATCAGTCTATAACATGGCAGGAGGCTTGAATATAATTCTCTGAAATGGGTAGATGTCATCTAAGTAAGGGAATATTTAGAAAACAGTGAATGGGCGTAAACAGGTAGAGGAGGTGCTAATGTTTGTTGAGCAGTTAATGAATGCTACACAGTATTTAAAGTGTTTTCCTTATGATGAAAAGTGGGTAAGTCAAGCCTCACAACAAATTGATGAAGTAGTTTATTATTACTATCTGTCCCTCTTACCGATAGAGGAACTGAGGCACAGAAAAGTTTAGTAAAGGCACCTGGGTGACTCAGTAGGTTAAGCATCTGCCTTCGGCTCAGGTCATGATCCCAGAGTGAGTCTGCATCAGGCTGTCTACTCAGCAGGAAGCCTACCTCTCCCCCTTTCTCTGCTCCCCCTGCTGTGTGCGTTTTCTTTCTCTCAAATCTTTTTTTTTAAGATTTTATTTATTAATTCATGAGAGACACAGAGAGAGAGAGAGAGGCGCAGAGATACAGGCAGAGCGAGAAGCAGGCTCCATGCAGGGAGCCCAGCATGAGACTTGATCCCGGGTCTCCAGGATCACACCCTGGGCTGAAGGCAGCGTTAAACCGCTGAGCCACCCGGGCTGCCCAATAAAATCTTTTTTAAAAGGGATGGGGGAGGAGAAAGAAAAGTTCAGTAAATCTCATGTCTAATAAGTGGCTATGCTAGGATTTGAACCCAGCAGGCTGCCCTGGGAATGTTCTATGCTCTTAATGTTATGTTCCACTAGAACTTGGGGAGATGGATTTGTGACTGCCATCCTCAGACTCCACATGGCATCAGAACCATCGAGGGGAAAGGGACTTGTGTCCTGGGGCTCTGGGCCACCTGGGTGCTGACTCTGCTTTCTGTGTTGGGTGAGGGGTACACTCACTGGGACCACAGGTTTTTTTTTAAGATTTTATTCACTTATTCAGGAGAGACACAGTAAGTCAGAGACATAGGCAGAGGGAGCTGCAGGCTCCTTGTAGGGAGCCCAATGCTTAACTCAATATCTGGACCCTGGGATCATACCGTGAGCCAAAGGCAGATGTTCAACCGCTGAGCTACCCAGGTTTCCCATTGAGGCCACATTTAACAAGAGAACCAGACCGTCTGTGTTAGTTGTGCTCCTTTATGTGACAACCCTTGCTTGTTAGGGTGCCATCTGGCAGGATGCTGCTGTTGGCCCAGCAGAGTGTCTGGGACAGCAAGGTCCCGCACACAGCCTGTGTCCTCAGATTTGGCCGGACCTTAACTGTGTAGATACAGCAGCAGGAGCTTCCTATGGAGCTGCCCACCGGGGACTCTCCACTTTCCACAGTGCTGCCAGCACCCTGCTTCACACAGCCAGCTGGCATCCAGTCGGCTTCTGTTGTTGGTAATTGGGAACCTCACCTAGTAAGTGGTCTCTTAATGTCAAACAGTCTGAAGGCCACTTGAAATTTGCCATACCCACCAAGTAATATTCATTCTTCTTTAACACAAACTGAAATTGAACATTCACAAACATCGGTTATATGTGAGGTCACAGAGAAAATCTCAGCACATCCTAGGAAAGGAAAATCACATGGGCCACATTACACAATGTATAACTAGCAACAACCAAAATAAAACATGCTTTTTTTTTTAAAACATGCTTCTAAATAACTTTTGAGTGAAGGGGAATTAAAACTGACTTTAGAAACTCTTTAGAAGGAAGTAGCAGGGAGAGCTCTGCACACCGAACACAGCTGCAACCATACATAATGAAAAATACAGTGTGTTTGTCAAAAATAAAGTGAATGGAGCAGCCCGGGTAGCTCAGCAGTTTAGCGCCACCTTTAGCCCAGGGCCTGATCCTGGAGACCTGGGATCGAGCCCCATGTCAGGCTCCCTGCATGGAGCCTGCTTCTCCCTCTGCCTATGTCTCTGCCTCTCTCTCTCTCTCTTTCTCTGTGTCTCTCGTGAATAAATAAAATCTTAAAGAAAGAAAGAAAGAGAGAAAGAGAAGAAAGAGAAGGAAAGAAAGAGAAAGAAAGAAAAGAAAAGAAAAGAAAAGAAAAGAAAAGAAAAGAAAAGAAAAGAAAAGAAAGAGAATGCAAGCATTCACCACATGAGGTCAGAAGGAAATGGCAAAAAAAAAAAAAAAAAAGTCCAGATCCTAGAAGGGAAAGGTTTATAGAGAGAAAAGAAGGGGCTAAGGAAGAAGAAAAGTAAAGAATATGTAAGTTCCCTCCATGACCCTTACTGTCTGTTCCCCAGAGCTAATTAATGTTGCTTTATATTTCGTCAGCTTATGTGAGAAAAGTAAGTACAGGTGGATGTATGTACACAAAGCAGATTTATGTGGTCTGTATCGATGTTGGTGTTTTTCTGTAGCTTGCTGTCTTTGGCCATATCATGGATGTCTTTCTATGTCAGTACCCGGGACTCAACCTCCTTTTCTTTACTGTGCTTGTTAGGACTCTGGAACATAATTTCACAGCCGCAGCACTCAGGCCTCGGTGGTGCAGTTGAAGAAAGGGTCACTGACCACCCCACCTCACTGACCCTTTGAAGCATGTCACCTTCCAAAAATGGCACCCACAAGCGATAGAGTAGCAGTGTCTCTGTGACTCCATAGTGACTGGTGTGTGTTGTGAGGCTACCAGGAGTTGTGAGCACTTTCATTGCTGGGGATGGTGAAACCCAAGGAGGAATCGACCAGTGCTAGGTCGGCTCCCATTGCCTTGCAGTTACTCTGGGCAGGAAGGGGATCTGGGTCTTCCGTGGAGTGGAACCTCTTAGACAGGGAGCCTGCCACTTAGAAAGGGTATGCAGAAATGTGATTGTAGCAACAGTTGGGTATATAGTGGTGTTTTAATAACCAATGTCTTTCTGTGCCTGTTTTGTTATATAGGTTTTTGTCTGATGACAGTAGTCTGGAATATAAATACTACAAATTGAAGCTGGCAGAAATGCAGCGGGTGAGCCACACCTTGCCAGGAGCAGATCAAAAGCCAACAGCAGCAGAGTGTGCGGTCCGGGCCATGCTGTATGCTCGGACAATCCGGAGCCTCAAGAAGAGGCTCCTCCCAGGCCGCCGGCGGGGGCTGCTCCGCACTCAAGGGCTTCGGGGCTGGAAGGTGAGGAAAGCAACCACTGGGACCCAGACCCTCCTCTCCTCAGGCACCAGACTGAAACACCATGGCCGGCAGGCTCCAGGTTCATTGCAGAGAAAGCTGTCCCAGCCAGATGGAAATGATACTGTTAAGGACTGCCCACCTGACCCAGTTGGACCCTCTCTTGGGGACCCCAGCCCAGAAGTCTCGGGCCTATCCCCCAAGCCAGCAGGAGTGGAAGTCTCTGAAGCTCCTCAATCCTCCTCTCCCTGCCCATCTGCTGACGGTGAGTGCTTATTTCCTGCCTCCCCCCTTCTGAGCCTCAGCCACGACTCCAATATCCAGGGGTCTCTTGGTGGTGGGGGTGGGAGATCTGGGTGTTGTGAGGTGTCTGAGCAGCAGGCAGAAGCAACAGGGACATGGCCCGGACAGGTGCACATGGAGGCACTCTCCTCTTATTTCCTCGAGGAGCTGGCCCTTGAGTCCTGTAGCAGTCTTCTTCCATGAAGGTGGAGCTGCCTCACTGTGTTCCCCAGTCACTTTGCCCCCGCTGCAAAGTCCTATTGCTGGCCACCAGGTTGTGCCATGTGCCCATGCTTGGGGCTCTGAGTTCCTTAATCCATTTTTCAGTCTCTTCTTGCCCCTCTTTACATTCTGCAGGGCTACCCTCATCTCTCGTTCTGTCTCTTTTTTTCCAAGGTCTCTCTTTTCTTCCTCTGGGTTAGCTGACCTGCAGTTTCTTCTCTTTCTCCTGGCCATTACCTTTTCTTTGTGTGAGAGGCTTGCCCCTGGCCAGTACCTTCCCCTTGACATTAGGTGGGAATAGAGAGGGGAAAAAACCACACAACTGCTGTGTTGTCTAGCTATTGCTATATGAGCCATTCCTTTTTTTTTTTTTTTTTTTAAGATTTTGTTTATTCATGAGAGACAGAGAGAGGCAGAGACACAGCCAGAGGGAGAAACAGGCTTCTCACAGGGAGCCCAATGTAGAACTCGATCCTGTGACTCCAGGATCACTTCCTGAGCCAAAGGCAGATGCTCAACCACTAACCCACCCAGGCATCCCTATAATGAGCCATTCTAAATTGTGGCTTCAAATGGGCTATTCAGTACTCTTAGTCTGTTGAACTGAGCTGGGCCAGCACATGTGTTTTTGGCAGCAGATGGTTGGGGCCATCAGCTGAGGTAATGGGCATCTGGGCTACATGCCTCTCACCCCCTGGCAGCCAACCTGGATTTGTTCACCTGATGGTCAGGGTTGGGACTCTAAGAGAGGCAGCGGGGTTGCTTGAGGCCTCTGAAGCCCAGGCTCCACACTTAGGCCACCTTCTGCCAGCACGAGTCCCAGGGCCAGCCCCAATTTGTGGGGAAGAGAAGATTATCTACCTCTGCTGGACAGAGCTGCAAAGGGCAAGGATGCAGTGAGGGGACACGAGGAGCTATCCTTATAATCAGTCTCCCCAACCTCCCACAGAGTTGAAATTGGAAGCAGCATATCAGAACTGACATGCGACAATTGTTTTGTTTTGTAGTTGACATGAAGACAATGGAGACTGCAGAGAAACTGGCCAGATTTGTTGCTCAGGTGGGACCAGAGATTGAACAATTCAGCATAGAAAACAGTACCGACAACCCTGACTTGTGGTATGTAGCCACCATGCTCTTTTAATTTGAGTGTATTTACCAGATGAGTGTCCTGAGAGCCCATGGGGTGGCCTGGCAGACATACTTCTGCCCCAGGGGTACCCGAGGATAAGTCATGGTTTCACTTCTGCTGAGCTCAGGGCTGAGAGGGAGAAGCACTGCTTGGTGGTGTTGGGCAGTGCCACCTTCATCTGGGGCATTAGAAAAAACCTACTCTGGAGGGAATTTTAAGCTGTATTTGAAGGTCAGGTGGGCTTTGACCAGGGAATGGGGGAGAGAGCACCCAGGCAGAGAGGCTAATAGGCCCCCTAGAACCTTTGCAGAGGCTGAGGGGTGTGGGCTAGTGGGAGGAGGAGGAGTGCGGGGCACTGTCCCTGGTCACACCAGTGCTCTGGGTAGGGTGAGAATTTGCTGCTGCTCCTGCAGTGATGGATGGGTCCTGTTCAGCTGTGGGCAGCAGGCACTTCATGTAGTGGTGGCCTGGCCTCCTTTTGCCAGCAGGGGGTGCCATTACCCTTGCTATTCCTCAGAAGGGGTGGGTGGCCACTCAAAACCACATAGCCTGCTGGGAAGCGGAACCAGGAGCCTGTTCTGCCTTGTGAGGGCACTGGTTCACCTCCTTCAGGGGAAAGCTACCTGGGAGCCACATGTTCTAGTACTGAGCCATTAACCCAGATGGGGTTCCCATGCCATGTTAATTGTATCCTCCAGTTGGCTGGGGACTCTGGACGATTGCCTTGTTCCTACCATGCTGGAGAGCCATGCCTTAGTCTAATTAAGATGACAGTTGAAAACTTCACATTTCCTAGAGCATTTCTGGGACTCAGTAATGACCCAGCAGCCTCTTCAGCAGCTTATTGGGGACCTTGATAGGTCCTGCATTGGGCATGCCTCTTGCTTCCTGTGAGACCCAGACCAGCCTCATGGGGCATGGATGGCTTCATGGGTGCTAAGCCTGGTTCTGCCTTTTATAGGCCTGGTGACCTTGAGGCTTGCTGGGCCTAGCATATCTCAGGGTTGGGCAGGACTGGGTGAAAGGTACAGCTCCACTAAGGGCAGCTGGGAGCATTTCATTGTTTTGTTTTGTTTTCCCAAATGAGAATTCTGCATTATCCTGAGCATCTGGCACTGCTGTGGTTTGGGTTTATCCATCACTGTCTCTGACAGCCTTCTCTCAGCAAAGTTCTTTAGAAGACACTGTCCTCTCCCTCCCCACACAGTGTCCCCCATTGCACAGCAACATTAGGTGGAGCGATTCACTCTGTCCCCCAGTCCAGTGCTCATAGAGTATTTTGAGAATGACTGTACTCAACAGCACATATATTTAAATAAAGGCTGAGGTGACTTTTCCTTTAGAAAAGTTGTACCTTTAATATATTTAATAGTTGCTTTTTTGTGTATGGTCATGTCATCAATGTGACATATAGTCAGGTTCATTTGTTTCTATAGAGATTCAGTTTTAGAACTATGTTTTTCTATTCTTTTTAACTTAATTTTTAAAAGTACAGCATTTGCATGGTTCTAAAGTAAAAATTACAAAAGATAAGCTCAGAGAAGTCTCTGAGGGGAATCTCCTCCACCCCCCCCACAACCATTTTCATTTATTTCTAGTGGGTGTGTGCATTTCCCCCTTTATTTTTACATGCAACTTTCTGTATGTAACAGACTTACATCTTGCTTTTTTTCCTTTTACAACCTATCCAGAAGTTTCCCTCTGCCTAGCCCACCTGTACCCTCTTTCTCTTGTCCACTGTGTCATTCTCTTACATGCAGCCACACCAGGGTCACTCCCCAGCCATCAGCGTTCACGTTGTTCTTAAAACTCCTACCAATGGCCTCACACACAATGACTTTGTGTTTGTGGAGAGAATCTTCCTATATCTTCCAGAAGGGGGACAGTGGGGTCCAAAGTCCTTGCAAATGTAATTTTTTTAGATAACGCAAATTCCCCTCCCTGAGGGCTACTCCCAAAGCAGTGTCAAGAGTACCTGTCCCCAATCTCTCACCTTTTGGCATACCTCAGTAGGATTAATGAGAAATTTCTCATTTCTGCTTTGAAATTTTAGTTTCCCTTCTTCTTATGAGTGAAATTGAAGATCCTTTCATAAACTTAAGTATCCTTTGTATATCTTTCTGTGAACTTTTCGTTTGTATCTTTTAAAAAGAAAAGGTGGGGATCCCTGGGTAGCTCAGCGGTTTAGCGCCTGCCTTTGGCCCAGGGCAAGATCCTGGAGTCCCGGCATTGAGTCCCACGTCGGGCTCCCGGCATAGAGCCTGCTTCTCCTTCCTCCTGTGTCTCTGCCTCTCTCTCTCTCTCTCTGTGTCTATCATAAGTAAATAAATAAATCTTTAAAAGAAAAACAGAAAAGGTTTATTCTTTTAAAAAGCTTTGTTGTTGGGATCCCTGGATGGCTCAGTGGTTTGGCGCCTGCCTTCGGCCCAGGGCATGATCCTGGAGTCCCGGGATCGGGTCCCACATCGGGCTCCCTGTACAGAGCCTGCTTCTCCCTCTGCCTCTCACTCGCTCTCTCTGTGTCTCTCATGAATAAATAAATAAAATCTTATTTATTTATTTATTTATTTATTTATTTATTTATTTATTTATTTATTTATTTATTTATGATAGTCACAGAGAGAGAGAGAGAGAGGCAGAGACACAGGCAGAGGGAGAAGCAGGCTCCATGCACCGGGAGCCCGATGTGGGATTCGATCCAGGGTCTCCAGGATCGCACCCTGGGTCAAAGGCAGGCGCTAAACCGCTGCGCCACCAGGGATCCCCAAATAAATAAAATCTTAAAAAAAAAAAAAACTTTGTTGTAAAGAGCTAGCATTTTTTAGAATTTTTTGTGAACACAGCTTGTTCTCACTTTTTGTCTGGTCCCTTTACTCAGCACAATTACTCGGATTCAGCTGTGTTTGTTGTGTGTATCCCCAGTTCATTCCTCTTTGCTGCGGAGTGTATCTCTGTGTGTTTGGACCCAGTTGTTTTTACCCATTCACCTGTTGATGGCATTGAGAGGTTTCCAGTCTGCGATGATTACAGATAAAGCTTCTGTGAGCAGTTGTGTATAAGGTCTTTATTTCTCTCCAGTTAAATTACCAAGGAAAGGAAAGGCTGGCTCCATGGTGGGTCCACAATAACTTTTGAAGAAACTGCCAAGCTGCCTTTCCAAGTGGTGGCACCATTTTACATTTTCAGCAGCCTGGACAAGAGTTCTGGTTTCTCCCTGACGTTGCCAGCACTTGCTAGTATCAACTTTTTCATGTTAGAATCCCAGTGTGGAGAGATAGTGTTGCACTATGATCCTCATTTCTCCAAGGACTAGTGGTGCTTAGTGTCATCAAGTATACTTGTATGCTTTCCATGTTTTAAGTGTCCATTTGGATCTTTGGGGGTGTTTTTGTTTTTGTTTTGTTTTGTTTTAAATGTTATTTGTTTGTTCATTCATTCATTCATTCATTCATGAGAGACACAGAGGCAGAGACATAGGCAGAGGGAGAAGCAGACTCCTTGTGGGGAGCCTGATGCAGGACTCAATCCCATGACCCTGGGATCACGACCTGACCCAAAGGCAGATGCTCAACCACTGAGCCACTCAGTTGCCCCCATTTGGATCTTTGGTCCATCTTTTGATTGGATTGTTCATGTACATATTAATCAGTTTTGCAGGTCTTTTATACATTCTTTATGGAGTCCTTTCTCAGATGTATGATTTGCAGATATTTTCTCCTGGTCTATGACTTGTTTTCTCATTCTAGCTGTCCCTTGGAGGGCACAAGTTCTTTTTTTTTTTTTTTTTAATTTTTTATTTATTTATTTATTTTATTTATTTATGATAGGCACACAGTGAGAGAGAGAGAGAGAGGCAGAGACATATAGGCAGAGGGAGAAGCAGGCTCCATGCACCGGGAGCCCGATGTGGGATTCGATCCCGGGTCTCCAGGATCGCGCCCTGGGCCAAAGGCAGGCGCCAAACCGCTGCGCCACCCAGGGATCCCACAAGTTCTTAATAAAGATTTTCATTTTGGGATGCCTTGGTGCTCTGAATTTTTAAGAGCTCTATGTAGTTACATATATTTCCTTCCTAGTTTAATGTTTATCTTTTGCTTATGATTTGTCCTGCAATGCAGAAGTGTTTCATGTAGTCAAATTTCTCAATTTCTCTTTTATTCCACCTGGATTCTGAGTCATAGAAAGCATCTCCCCACACGCAGGTTATAAAGATTTTTGTATATTTTTGTCTAGAACTCATATCACTTGCTTTTTGCATTTAGATCCTATCTGTGTGGGCTTATTCCAGAGCAGAGTGTGCTGTGTGGATCCAATCTGAGTATTTTTCTGAAAAGCTCCCCAATTGTCCTGATGCCATTTGTTGAAAAGATCATCTTTTTTTTACTGGTTTGAGAGACCGCCTTCACCAGATAACCATGTTTCTGGCTTTTTTCTTGGTGTTTCAGTCCATGTGTCCAAGGACTGTTACCACACTGTTGTGACACTAGAGGCATCATCCACCTTGTAATGTGTTCTAGGGCCAAAACGCTTCATTGATTTTGTTCAGAGTTTTCCCAGATACCTTTACATACTTATTTTTCTCTGTGAAATCTAGAATCATGTTCAAATCCAGGGGGAAAAAATGATGCAATGATCGAGGTAGGTTTATACATTAAATATTAATTAGGAAAGAATTGACATAGTTATGAGGTTGAGTTATTCTAGTCAAACACGGGCTTCTTTCCTTGGGTCCAAGTGTATTTTGTGTCTTCAGGCATGTTTTCAGTATGGGGGCATGTTTTCATGGCCCCATACATCCCTGGGGCTAGTATGGGGCCATGGGGCTCTAAGGTTCAGAGAGGTGTTATCGCCATCATGTCACTCAGCTTCACTGTAGAACGAGGGGCAGAAGTGATGCACCTTCCTCTGTCTCATACCTGGCAGTGTGAGAGGAACCAGGCAGTCACAGTGAGCTCTTGGAGTCCCAGAGTAGCTGGTGACAGACTAGAGAGGAATAAGGTAAGGGCCAGATTGGAGCTTTTTCCAGCACATTCCTTGGTCATTCCTGCATACCTTGTTTCTCCACCTCCCTCCCCTGAAAAGCAATTAGGCCTCATATTCTGGCTCCTTTGTTAAATTATTAGTCCGCAGACTTCTCTCTGTCATTGTGAAACTGCACCATCAACCATAGCTTATAAAAAGAGAGTCAGGTTATTTGTTCGTTGGTCTCACTCCCAGCTTTGTTGGATCTATTTTGGACAATTTAGTAAATATGAATGTTCAGGACTCTGATTAACCACTTGGATCCTTTTCCCAGGTTTCTCCATGACCAAAATAGTTCAGCCTTCAAATTCTATCGAAAGAAAGTATTTGAACTATGCCCATCAATTTGTTTCTCATCATCTCCACTGAACCTCCACACCAGTGAGAGCGCTGATTCTCAAGAGAGCCCCCTTGATCCCATGGAAGGGGAAGGAGAGTTTGAAGATGAGCCCCCTCAGCATGAGGCTGAGTTGGAAAGCCCAGAGGTGATGCCTGAGGAGGATGATGAAGACGAGGAAGATGAGGATGAGGATGAGGAGGGGACCGAAGAGGCCTCCACTCCTAGAGGGGCCTCCAGGCAACCAGGAGGGGCTGCCAAGTCCGAGGGCTATGAGGGCAGTCCCCCCCCTGATGGCCTCCCAAGCGAGGCAGCCGAAGATGGCCCAGCAGGTGCACCTGCCCTATCACAGGCCACCTCAGGGGCCTGCTTCCCTCGGAAGAGGGTCAGTAGCAAGTCCTTGAAGGTTGGCATGATTCCGGCTCCAAAGAGGCTGTGTCTCATCCAGGAACCCAAAGGTGAGTGCCAGGCCATCATCATGGCTTCCATAGCTTGGGCTTCCATTTAATAGTAGAAAAGGAGGAACCGTGGTGTTCAAGTGTGGACCAGGAAAAGTTGTGGAGACCAAGTAATATTGCCTGACTGTGTGGAAGAATTTACTGGCTATTAGCCCAGGCTTAGCCACAAGATGGCTAGCCGGTCCCTATCTCCCTTCCCTGCCCTGATATACCTGCCAACCTGGATGTTACCTCCCCATATTCCCCCAGGGCCAACAGGGCATGTTGCAGGGGGTTGTTTTTTGGAGGGTTTTTTTTGTTTTGTTTTGTTTTGTTTTTAAGATTTTATTTGTTTATTCATGAGAGACACAGGCGGGGTGGGGGTGGGCAGAGACACAGGCAGAGGGAGAAGCAGGCTCCATGCAGGGAACCTGATGTGGGACTCAATCCAGGAACCCCAGGGTCATGCCCTGGACCAAAAGCAGGCACCAAACCGCCGAGCCGCCCAGGGATCCCCACATGTTGTGTTTTTAACCTAAAATAATTCTAGTGGTTTTGCACAGCATTCCGGAATGTTCCTGTGAAGCTTACACTACAACTGTTGTAAGGTTGGCACTCTAAGGACACACTGCTGTGTTAGAGCAGCAGTGGTGTGTTAGCACTAGATGCTGCTTGATGTCTCCATTATTCCCCACAGTCCAGCGTGGGGAACCCTCCAATGAAGGGCACCAGCCTCGGTCATCTCATTTGTTTCCTGCCCATAACCTTGGAGAATACCCAGCCTTCTGAAACCCTGGAAGGCCCAGGGCAGGGATTCCTGCTTAGAGATAATGAGGAAGGAGGATGCAGGTGGGGCTGGTCTTGGGCAGTGGTTAGTGGGAGCCATGTGCTCTGTGCTCTGCTGCCTGGGCCATGGGGGGGTTATCTCCTGTTCTTATGTGGGGAGAGTTAAAGAGTTTTTCAAGGGGACAATTTGAGGAATTTTGGCAAGTATGTACAGGCATGAATTATTCTAGTACAGTGGAGCTTGGAGCCTGTCTCCAGAAATGTCTGTGTCTCTGCAGTCACCTCCCCATTTTCAGGCCTCATGATTCTGCCTTTTCTAGACTGTCAGTAGGCAGAATGGCATCACCTACAGCCTTTTGATGGACCAGGCACAGCCTGGGTTATTCCTCGTGCCCCGACCCCTCCAGATGTCTCCACAAAGTGGAGGCCTGGACTGTGCTTCATGCATGGGGCTGATGCTGCCATATCTCACATGAGGTGTTTGTGGTGAATGGTCCCCCACCTTGTGTAACCTGTGTGTTCTACATTGTTGATACTGTTATACTCACCCCCAAGAGCATCTGTCCAGTTTCTCCTGCTAACAGAACAGGCCTGTGGTTTGTGTTTGTAAACCTTGGCATTACCACAGATAGTCAGCTGTTCTACCCAACTCTGACATCCTTCAGAATTTAACTGCTGTTGACGGCAGCCTGTCTGAATGCCTCATGTCCTTCATGGGGGAAAAAGTAGAGCTCTATTTTGGAAACTCTTAGTTCTTGGATGGTTCATGAGAAGAAACCAGCCCTACTGATCTCCTTCATCAAAAATAGTGATACAGGGCAGCCCGGGTGGCTCAGTGGTTTAGCGCCGCCGTTAGCCCAGGGCCTGATCCTGGGGACCCGGGATTGAGTCCCACGTCAGGCTCCCTGCATGGAGCCTGCTTCTCCCTCTACCTGTGTCTCTGCCTCTCTCTCCCTCTCTCTCTCTGTCTCTCTCTCATGAATAAATAAATAAAATTTTTTAAAAATAATAATAATACGGTGTGATTCAGGGGTGTCTGGGTGGCACAATCGGTTAAGCATCTGCCTTCAGTTCAGGTCATGATCCCAGACTCCCTGCTTAGCTAGGGGGTCTGTTTCTCCCCCTGCCCCTCTGCCTCTCCCCCTACTTGTGTACGCACATGCTCACTCGTTCGCTCTTTTTCTCTCTCAAATAAAGTGATTCAGTGCTCAGTATGAGAAGCATGGTTGTTTTGTGCTAGAAAAGCCTAGACTTTAACTTTTTATCAGTGGAACAGTTGCAGAGACACTAGGAAGACACGAGATTGCAAATATTTTATTTATTGAAACAAAATGGTTCTTGCAGTCATGGACAATGATCTGTGCATTGAACCTTTGTCATACATGTGGGCAGTCCGACATTGAAGTGGACTCTTCCACATTGAGCAGCCCCAGTTGGGCCCTTGTGTTCCACCTCTGCTCATGTGGCCTGTGATTTTTGAGAAGAACCCTGGTGAACTGGGGTGTGGGTAGCTACCTTCTGTTGGCAGAGGGCTGTTAGCCTAAAGTGCCGCCCTCATTTTCTGAGTAATTTGGAGAAAGTATGTATATGTATGAATATGTTTCTTATGTCTTCCAGTTCATGAACCAGTTCGAATTGCCTATGACAGACCTCGGGGTCGTCCCGTGTCCAAAAAGAAGGTGAGCATGACTGAGTTCTTAGGCATGATGTAGTCAGTTGGAATTTGTTGGAATTTTAAAGGGCACTGTGGCTTGTAACTGAGGTATACTCCTACTTCAGACTAGCATAACGTACAAAGCATAACAAACAGCCTTTTTTCTCAGGGATTTCTTAAAACTGTTTTGTGTTTCTCAAAGCATAGGAGTGATAGGAATGTGTGAGACTCTTGTGGCCTATGTGCTATGGGTCCAGAGAAGCAGGTTGAAGGGAAATTGAGATTAATGTGGGGTTGAGGATGCCATTTATTCAGAGAGGCCTGAGGGAGACTCCAGGGTGGTCTTGTGTCAATAGGTTGCCCTTTGTGGCACCTGGATGGGGGTAGGGAGATGAAGAAGTAGATGTGTTGAGGCCCTGGGTCATATAGTACCTATAGACAGATATCAGCAGTGAGGTTCCTTCTCTGGGTGGTAGTTTGGTTGGAAGATGTGGCCACTGTGGCTGCTGTGCTGAGAAGCAGCCTATCGGCGGGCAGGAGGGAAGGCCAGGAGGGTGAAAATGCAATTAGTGGGACTTGCCAATAGATTGTACGTGGGATGGGCCCATATCCACTGCTCCGCCAGGCAGTGAGGAGGATGGAGCTGCCACTGAATGAAATGGAGAGCCCCTGTTGGGGGCAGGTCATCAGGGAAATGGGGTTCATTCCAGATAGCTAAGTGGACACGGGGCAGGTGAGGCTGAACAAGGTCACCTAGGACATATGTGGGGACATCCCAGGTCCTTAGGGAGGTGAGCTGGGAACCAGGTGAGGTCTTTGCTGATGTAGGGTGGTGAGGAAAGTTTGTGTGGTAGACACCTGTTCATGTGCATGGTCAGTCTCAGTGGCCAGGTGAGGTGTTGGTATAACCTCAGTTAAAGCAGGGAAGAGGGACTTTCCTGGGCCCAAAGCTTGTGGTCCTGACTGATGTTCTCAGTTTGAATTCTCAGTTTGATGTTCTCAGTTCTCAGCTGGCACCCAGCTGCCGTGCCCATCTGGTGGTCTGGGCGAGGGTGCAGCCAGGCTCAGGCTGTCCACCTAATCTTGGCATATAATTCCTAAGTCTCCATTTGTACATCTGTGAGTGGGGCAGTCACATCTACCCTGTGGTTTGGAGATACCTTATGAGTGAAGCTAAATGCATGTTAACCTGCTGTGCAGTGGCTTCCTGTAAACTCCAGTCTCTCTTTGATATGTCTGCAAGCTGAGAGGAAGCCTGGCCTGTGGCACATGGCTTTTCTCTAGCTGAGCGGCTTTCCCAAGGGGGTACAGATCTGCCCTTCGGGAACCTGTGGCTAGCTTTACCCTTGCCTTCTCCACCCTCTTCCCCTCCCACACTTGTTCCCTCCTCAGACCCTCACTGTTACCCGCCGCCCCCCCCAGCACTGGCTGCCTTGATCAGGATGGAGGAGCTCTTTCCCCAGAAGTCCATGTGGCCTTCTCAACCTACACAGGCTGTCCTTGGTGTTTAGTAAATGTCTTTTAAAAACAGGCTCATGGGACGCCTGGGTGGGTCAGTGGTTGATCATCTGCCTTTGACTTGGGGTTTGATCCTAGAGTTCCGGGATTGAGTCCTGCATTTGGCTCCCTGCATAGAGCCTGCTTCTCCCTCTGCCTATATCTGCCTCTCTCTCTCTCTCTCTCTCTCTCTCTCTCTCTTTTAAAGATTTTTATTTATTTATTCATGAGAGACCGAGAGAGGCAGAGACACGGGCAGAGGGAGAAGCAGGTTCCATGCAGGGAGCCCAATGTGGGACTCGATCCCGGGACTCCAGGATCATGCCCTGGGCCAAAAGCAGGCGCCAAACCGCTGAGCCACCCAGGGATCCCCAAATAAAATATTAAAAAAAAGGCTCAGGTGATAAGGACAGTGGGTGCTTATGAATATTCATGAGTAAATGGAAATATTTTCTGCTCACACTGGGCAGGCTCTTCCTCCAGAGGACCCCCCAAACCTTTTAACCTGTCTTCCCACAGTCAGCTGTGGAGCCCAGGTCTTACCCAGAGTTTCTTGCCCCTCTCCCTGTAGGCTCTCTCCCAAGCCCCATTCTTCCCCTCTTTTTTTTTTTTTTTTTTTTTTTTATTTATGATAGTCACAGAGAGAGAGAGAGGCAGAGACACAGGCAGAGGGAGAAGCAGGCTCCATGCACCGGGAGCCCGACGCGGGATTCGATCCCGGGCCTCCAGGATCGCGCCCTAGGCCAAAGGCAGGCGCCAAACCGCTGCGCCACCCAGGGATCCCTCTTTTTTTTTTTTTTTTTTTTTTTTTAAAGATTTTTTTTTTTTAAATTTTATGATAGTCACAGAGAGAGAGAGAGAGAGAGAGAGGCAGAGACACAGGCAGAGGGAGAAGCAGGCTCCAGGCGCCGGGAGCCCGATGTGGGATTCGATCCCGGGTCTCCAGGATCGCGCCCTGGGCCAAAGGCAGGCGCCAAACTGCTGCGCCACCCAGGGATTCCCCATTCTTCCCCTCTTTATCAGCTCTCAGTGAGGTCTTTGTGCTAGACATGGACCCTGGAGTCCCAGTAAAACCCAGTCTCTGCCCTTGGGGAGCTCCCAGACGTGGGAAGGGGCAGCTGGACAGTTATTCAGGTTTGCTGAGCAACATCTGAGGGCAGCCAGAGAGGCTTCCAGGATGGGGTCACTGCTCAGAGTTCTGGAAGCTCACAAGTGTTCAAAATGGAGGCAGAGAGGATCCCTGGGTGGCTCAGCGGTTTGGCGCCTGCCTTTGGCCCAGGGCGCGGTCCTGAAGTCCCGGGATCCAGTTCCACGTCAGGCTCCCAGCATGGAGCCTGCTTCTCCCTCCTCCTGTGTCTCTGCCTCTCTCTCTCTCTCTCTCTGATAAATAAATAAATAAATCTTTAAAAAAAGTAAAAAAAATGGAGGCAGAGAATAGGGAGAACCCTGTGAGCTCATTTTCCACACAGTCTCTCTCTACAGCAGATTCGTGGTCTGTTTGGCCCTCTCCTACCTCAGCCCTGTCTCCACTCTGACTCCTGCATGCTGGGGCCTTCCTACCTCAAGCCCATAACCTGGTTACCCCCAGCCTGGGGTGTGTCCTCTGGTCATCACAGGTCACCACACTTACGGCTCTTCCGGCTAACCCCCTGTTTCCCGGACCTCCTAGCCCCTCATGGGGGTTTCTTCAGGGTCTTCGCACCACAGTGGGAGTGGTCACACTGGGGCCTGAGAGGCTGATCTGACTTGGTTCTGTGGGTGCATCTCTTTACTCCCCACTTACAGAAGCCCCAGCCCACCCGAATGTTGCTGGGAACTGGGAAGCAGCCCATAGCTTGATCCCAAGTGTCTGTGGAATTGGAGACAGTGAGGGGCCGGTGCTGGACCGAGTCAGGTGTAGCACAGCAGACCCTTACTGCAGGTGCTTTGCTACAGCGCACTTGCCATACTCTTCTCTTTCCTCAGAAACCCAAGGATTTTGATTTCGCCCAGCAGAAGCTGACCGACAAGAACCTGGGGTTCCAGATGCTGCAGAAGATGGGCTGGAAGGAGGGCCACGGCCTGGGCTCCTGTGGGAAGGGCATCAGGGAGCCCGTCAGCGTGTATGCAGCAGGCGCTTGGGGGCCAGGGGTGGGGATGGGCAGTGTGCTTGGGGAAAAGAGACTTTCTTTGGGATTCTGGTCCTGATTCCTTTCATCTGCAGTCTGATTTCTTGGCTCCCCTCATGCTAAACATGCCTTAAAGCTGGCAGGAATTTTTTTCCTAACAAAAGGAATCTTCAGATGAGATGAAAAGCAGATCATTTACATATGCAGGTGTTCGTATACTATTCACAGACTATTTAAGGGGCTTCTTGGCCCCTGGCATTTTAGCCACATTCATTCTTGTCACGAAAGCTGAGTGGTAATTCTAAGTAGTTATAATAAGAGCCACTTTCCCTTTTCTGGGAACCCTAAGCCAGGTAGCCAGGGTGGGAGAACGTGGCCCAGAGTTTATTAGGCCCCATTAGCATCCAGCAGGCATTTCATTTAAAACTGAGCTTATCACCTGCTGGGGGAGGCTTTCAGCAGTAGTTGGGCTTCTGAGCGCTCTCCTCAGAAAGTCCGCACACCTGCTAAGGTGAGTATCCCTTGTTCCACGTTGTGAATTGTGTCTTCACTTTCCCTTTGCTTTGTCACTGTTGTGTGTCTCACTTGCCTCCATCGCACTCTGACTGCTTGTGCCATTTCCAGTCTCCTGATGGCCAGGCTCCATGCTCAGGTGTGGCTAACTCTCCATTTTGCTCCTAGGGGAACTGCATCGGAAGGGGAGGGGTTAGGTGCTGACGGGCAGGAGCACAAGGAAGACACATTTGACGTGTTCCGTCAGAGGATGATGCAGATGTACAGACACAAACGGGCCAACAAATAGGTATGTGTGTGAGCTAGTGCATGGGGCATTCTGCCTAAGCTGATGTGCTGGTATGTAGAGATGATTTCTCCAGAAAAGTCAGTTTCATTCCCCAAAAACCAAACACAGAACCACATGCACACGTGCACACATACACACACACAAATGAAAAAATTCTATGAAGGCAACAGGGAGTGTTTGAATGTGGATGTGTCCCACCTTTCACCTTCCAGGTTTGGTTGAAGGAACGAGTCCTGTGCTTGAAGGTGGCTGCATAGCTGTGTCAGCCCGACAGCGGGCCTTGGTACAGGGCTCCTGGGCTCAACTTCACGTGGCTGTCCTGGGGAGAGAAACCACCCCAGGAGTGGCCCTGCTGTCCTGCAAGTGTGAGGGTGATCTGGAAGCCAGCGCCACACAGGCCAGCTGCTTTGCCACATCCCTTTCTAGGCATCTTCAAATCCTTTTCCTTCTCAAGGGCCTTGGGCCCATGTAAACATCCCCTTCTTTCTCCTTTCTTTTTGGTTGCCTTCCCCACCCGTAATTTCCAACTCAGTTTTGAACAAAATCGTTCTCTTCCTGAATAGATGAAACCATTGGTGAGAAAAATAAGGCTTGAAGCAGCAATTACTCTTAAAGCGCCACCTCTGCCCCGGATCTACCCTGGAGCCAGTGCCCAAGTAGGTTTGGTGTGTACACAAGAAACAAGCGTCTCTGCAGTTCTGGTGTGGAGGTTCCGCTGGCTTTTCTTCTTTCTAAAGGAATAAAGAATGCACCATTTCCAATCTGCTTTGCCTTTCTCCCCACTCTTCAAATGCTTGTGGCAGCCAGTCCTCTGCAAGTCTTTCCTGGTTCCCCCTCAGAAGGTGGGCGCCCTGTTAGTGCTCAGGAACCGACTCTTGTCAGGTTTCCAGTCCCAGGGAACCTTGCTCTCCACAGGTGCTTTGTTAGCAAACTTGATACCAAAATGATGACAGACTGGCTTTTCATCGTTTCAAGACTGTAAATGGGGGATGTAATTCCATATTAGTGAAGTCCGCTCTGTTACCACAGCTTGCGAGTTGGAGCTTGGGAGCTCTTTGGACAAGTGGAGATTCTTGATTCCATGAATGTGTTATTTATGGAGTCTTGACTCTTAAATGCATCTCAAGAGATGTAATGAAGTTTAGCGACAGTATAATAGCGCTGTATTTGGTGGGGAGTAATCATTATGTTGATGAAACTTCCCTCAATTCACATATCTCTCTAGAATCCACAAATTCCTGTTTGCTTTTTTTAAAACACATATGGAGTCTCTTCTACCAGGGAATGGAGTTATAAACTCTTCAAGAAGCTTCATTTCTGGCATGCGCGGCAGAGTGTAAAGAATTGTGTTATCAGGGCCTTTGTACAGAACAGAAAGCGTCCTCTTGGGGTGGGCTCGCAGCTGCTTGCTATTTCTAGCGTGTGATTGCCGCCCTTCCATCTTCTCCTGGCGCTCTCTCCTTGCAGCTACGTGCGACGTTCTCAGGCTGTGGGGATCTCAAGCCTTCCTCATAAAGCAGCAGTGTTGAAGTTTTAAATATGTGCTCAGATCTGGGAAACTTGGGATCGGATCCTGCTGACACTGCAAGCTTTGGGGGGCACAGAAGTGAGTTACCATGTTGGCCAGTCTTTGCTTTCTTAAAGCCACAGGCCCTGACTATAGTCTCAGCCTCCTCTGGCTCTGTCTTGTGGAGCCCACACCCACCATCACAGGCCTGTGCTGTCTCTCTTCATGTCAGGTGGAGCCTCCAGGCTCTGCTTACTTCTAGCTGCTTCTGTTGCATGGGCAACCAGCAGATCTTTATGCCCAGGGAGATGATGGAGGTGCCTCCGCAAAGTTTAAGCAGACTGCAGGGGTGGTGTGGTTTAGGGGAACCATAGCTATGGGGAATCATCTCCTTTCTTTCCTAATCCTTCCAGTAGCCTTCCTTTTTGGCTGTGGGTTGGGCACCTGGATGGAAATCTGAGAACAGGACCTTGGTCTTCTCTGGCCTTTCACAGAGTGCCCATTGGCCCTGAGTAAGGCATGTATGTATTCCCTGAATAGGTTCTAGCTCTTTCTCTGTGGCGTAGATAGCTCTGACCATCATATTCACTTTGTGCTAGTATATTCGTTCTTGGCTCTCTCCGCTTTTATTTATAAGTAAAGTGCTTTAGGAATTCCCAGGGTATAAGCCCTGTCCCCACAGCCTCCTGCCACTCTTCCTCCTGGGGACATCCCGCTTTGAGCTGGCCCTGTGAGCCTTTGGCAAACGTCAAAGGGAACACCTACTTCTTGATCCTGGAAAGTCCTCTGAGCACTCAGGTGATGCTTTTCCTGTGGGTTTGACATCATGGGAACTGGCGGGGGGAGCCTGGTGTTGTGTCATTGTGCCAGCTGTTGGCTAGGGACCAGTGCGCACAGGCCCTCTGCGCTCTCCCTTGCTCTCTCTGGCAAAGCTGCTCGCAGGGAATGTGCGTACAAGCGCGATGTGTGGTTGCATAGCCTTGTCGAAGTCACAGTATCTTTTCTGTCATTCTAGTTCCAGGGTCTCTTCCATGAGGACGACAGGCATCCGGAAAGTGCTAACTCGCCACTTTGGGTGCTTACTGTCTCTGGCTTGTTTCCATCACTGGAAATCATATAGAGAATTTTAGCATTTTTGGTCCTTGGTAAAACCTAGAAGACATTTGTGATGTTACAAAATGGAAGTTTTTGGTTTTTTTTTCTTTTTTTTTTTAATCTAAGAAGTTGTGAATGTTGTTAATCATTTAGCAGTTGCAATAAATGTAGAGGAAACCCAATATTCCATCGTCTCTGTTGATGTGCTTTTTAAATTTGGCAGGTTGGGGAACACATGACAGATGTTGTAATACCTACATGGAACCAAGCTGGACATAGTACTACCTCCCAGGCATCCCCTTCTGCCTGCCACAGCCTTTCTGACTGCTCACCTCAGGCCTTTTAAGTTACTGGGAAATCCTGGAAGATGCCAGAGAGCAGGTGGTGATCAATGCCAGCCATAGGGGGTGGGGTGGGCATGCCCTCTTCTCTGAGTGAGGAGGTACTGCTGGGTATAAAACCCAGCTTTGAGAATGTTAAGGATGCCTGCCCTTCTGCTGATGACTCCTCTAACTCCTCTCAGGCTTTACACACTCCCAAAGTCAGGGCTCCAGCTGTCAAGCATTAAACCAGGGTCCACCTGGGCCTCCCCTGAGTGAGGAGGTCTGCCCATAGGCATCTTCAAAGCTCCCTGCTAGTCATGTGTGCTGCCCACTCGGATTCCTCCACTGACAGCTTCTGGCCCTTTGGGTAAGGGATGAGGCCAAAGGCTGCAGTAGGGACATACCAGACCTACGAGGGCTTCCACATGAGGGCAAGGTGATGGGGAGGAACCAGGCTGCTGTTGTACCCAGGGCAGAGGGGGCCCAGAATGGGTTTGGGGTGTTTGTTGGCCAGTTAGAGGCAAGTGAAACAGGGTCCCCTAGGATGTGGGAACCCAAGCCTCCCTTCTCCCTACTGTGTCCTGGAGGATGCTCAAGAGTGGCAGGGACCCATTTGACCATGATGGGAGCTATTGCCAGTCAAGTACCTCCTTCTCTTGCTTCATCTTTACAAGAGCCCAAGAGGGCAGTGTCTAACTTCGAGCTTCAGTGCCCTCCCTGAGAAAGTTGCTCAGAACCCACAACTACCCCACCTCACCTCCCACCCCTTCTTGGGAAACCAGAGGTAGAGGGTGAGCAGAATTACTCTCCAGCAGCTGCCCCTAACTGGCCAACACCTCCTCTTACCACCTCCCCAGGCTGGTGAAAGTCACTTAGATGACCCATGGAGTGAGGGTTTCCAGCCTGGGACACCCATCTAGGCTTTGTCCTTAGGCTTTGTTTCTGCTCTATAATCTGGGGAGGTTTTCTTTCTTTTCTTTTCTCTTTTTTCTTTTTTCTTTTCTCTTTTTCCTTTCCTTTCTTTCTCTTTCCTTTGTTTCCTTTCCTTTCCTTTCCTTTCCTTTCCTTTCCTTTCCTTTCCTTTCCTTTCCTTTCCTTTCCTTTCCTTATTCATGAGAGAGAGAGAGAGAGAGAGGCAGAGATAGGCAGAGGGAAAAGCAGGCTCCATGCAGGGAGCCCGACGTGGGACTCAATCCTGGGTCCCCAGGATCATGCCCTGGAATGAAGTGGTGCCAAACCGCTGAGCCATCCGGGCTGCCAGGGGGGTTGGTTTTCTTCCAGTTTGGAAGGTATAATATCCTCTGTTTTCTTGTTATTTAGAGCTAACTGGGACCTAAATATACTGTTCTTGGCCTTGAGGGCCCCTCCCCTTTCCTTCTCCCCAGCACCTCCTCCTGGAAGCCTTCTGGATGCCCTGGGGCCCTGAGAGAAGCAGAAGGCACTGCTGGACATTGAAAGCAGCTTGTGGGGGGTGCCTGGGTGGCTCAGCAAGTTAAGCATCTACCTTCGGCTCAGGCCATGATCCAGAGTCCTGGGATCCAGCCCCACTGGCTGCCTCCTTGCTCAGCAGGGAACCTGCTTCTCCGTCTCCCTCTGCCTGCTGCTCCCTCAGCTTGTGTGCGCGCGCGCGCTCTCTCTCTCCTGTGTCAAATAAATAAAATCTTTAAGTTAAAAAAAAAGCAGCTTGTGGTTTTAAAGCAAGCTTTCACTATGCATGCATGCACATGCACGTATGTAACGTGGGTGTGTGATACATGCAAACAGCATTCAGGCAACACTTGCACATTTTCTTTGTAAAAGATCAAACCAGATATGTGCAGAGTAAAGCACAGAAGTTACCTCTCCTTCCCACTCTCACATAAAAGTAAATAATAACCAAATAAACTTTTAAAAATAACAAGACACCAGGTATACTACCTGGAGACTCGTGTCTTTTTTTTTTTTTATGATAGTCACACAGAGAGAGAGAGAGAGGGGCAGAGACACAGGCAGAGGGAGAAGCAGGCTCCACGCACTGGGAACCCGACGTGGGATTCGATCCCGGGTCTCCAGGATCGTGCCCTGGGCCAAAGGCAGGCGCCAAACCGCTGCGCCACCCAGGGATCCCGAGACTCGTGTCTTTATGTGACTGGAGATCTCCACGGTTTTTTCATGGAAGTAAAAACTTTTAGTACTGTTTGTAAATAAGTAACACCTGGCCAAAATCAAAAGGTACAGAAATGTGTTCTGTGGAAAATGCCTCCCCAGCACCCAGGTCTCAGATCCCTTACATGTAGACGATTGGTTTACAGGCATATTTTAGGTATAACCTTTCTTTAAAAAAAATTTTTTTTTAAGATTTTATTTATTCATGAGAGAGACAGAGAGAGAGGCAGAGACAGGCAGAGGGAGAAGCAGGCTCCATTCAGGGAGCCCGATGTGGGACTTGATCCCAGGTCTCCAGGATCACGCCTTGGGCTGCAGGCAGCGCTAGCTGCCATCACCAGGGCTGCTCACTTTCTTTAAAATGTTAATTCTACTGCAGGGTTTAGTCTGCCTGTTGTTGTTGTTGTTGTTGTTGTTGTTTTTCCACTTAAAAAATTTCCCCAGAAAATGTACATATATATGTAATGGACTGTCATTGTTTTAGGTTCTCCACCCAGAGGCATTTGAGTTTTTCCCAAGCCTTGGCTACTATATCCCAGAACATTCTCTCTGGATAAAGCCCTGGAAATGGTGATTCCGGGACCAAGGGGTCTTCCTGGCATCTCTCCGCTTTACTCCCTCCCTCCACCGCATTCCTGTGCCATGCAATTTCAGGAGTGACCCTGTTAGCACCCCAGTTTTCCCCAGCTGTGCCTGCCTCTCTAGGATGTGGGGGGCTGTGGTCCCTGGAAGAGGGAGGCTCTACCCTCAAGGTGGACTGAACCACAGAGCATGGGCCTTGACTCCTCCAGACCCTGTCCCCATGCTCGGTTCCAGATGTGGACCCAGCTGCCACCCCTCTCTGCTGCTTCTAGATTCTGCTACTCTGAGCCCACCGCTCCTGCCACAAGCCCCCCAACCTCAGCCTCCCTGGAGCCAGCGGCAACCTAGCTGCAGGTGACCTTGTTTGTCCCTCCGGGCCTGATGTCCCCCCTCCATCCATTGACGGCCTGATGCCCACCCATGGGGGCAGGTCTTGAAGACCAGAGATGCGCCAGCAGGGAGGAGGTTATGCCAGTAGGGAGAAGGCTGCAGCTGACCCTCCCCACAGCTGATGAGCTATAGGACTTTCCAAGCCTTGGTTTCCTTCGAGGGAAATGAGGCCTTGGGCTTGCAGAGTTAAAAGCAATAATCGAGGGATCCCTGGGTGGCGCAGCGATTTAGCGCCTGCCTTTGGCCCAGGGCGCGATCCTGGAGACCCGGGATCGAATCCCACGTCGGGCTCCTGGTGCATGGAGCCTGCTCCTCCCTCTGCCTCTCTCTCTCTCTCTCTCTCTCTCTCTCTCTCTCTCTCTGTGACTATCATAAATTAAAAAAAAAAAAAAAAAGCAATAATCGAGGGCTGCTCACGGAGAGAGGATTTAGAGAGGCCAGTCTTGGTTTTGAGCCTGATTCCCTTCCTGGGAAGCCAACGTTGTGCATGAGATCCCCAAGCCCAGTCACTATGCATCTAGGCCCTGCTCTGCTGCCAGGTAGAGGGTGGGGTCACACCTCCAAACTAACTCCCTTCAACAGAGGAGGGGTTGAGGCCTAGGGTCAGCCAGAGAGGGGTAAATTGTACAACACCCATGTGTTTGGAGGGATTAGTCACTTGCAGGTTGGAGGGAGGGTGACAGTGCTGGAGCTGGAGCCAAATTCTTGCCCAGCTACTACTCTGCCACCTGCTCTCCTATTGTACACATGGGGAAACTGAGGCCCAGAAAGAGGTAGAACCTGGCCCCAGACTGCACCAATTCTTCAAAGTCTCCGCACCTGCTTCAGCCTCAGTTTCCCCATCTGGGTGGGGCTGGCACCGTGCTACAGCAGGCAGCAACCTCTCTAGCCAATGGCTGAGACTTACAGTTTAGGCCCAGAGTTAGGTATCAGGTTTTTTTTTTTTTTTTTTAGGTATCAGTTCTTATTCATGAACATCAAGTATTGAGGAGGGTCCTATGCCACCTAGCTGGCCAGCAATGGGGTGACTCTTCACCCTGTCCCCAGGCCTTACTATGCCTGTGGGACCTCCATTCAATCTCCAGGGGCCATTTCCACCCTGCTTTCTGCAGACAGAGGCCTGGATGCCCCTCTGGCTTCCTGAGGCCTGCAGACCTGCCTCTGACCCCCCTGAACTAAGGTTGCCCGGCTCTGTCTCACCCAGGCTGGGGCCTCCTCCACAGAGGACTGAATCAAATGAATGTGTAATAAAAGGACAATGAACAAATGAACTTTGTACAATGTCTAAAGCCCCATCCTTACAGATGGGATCCTTCTTGGGATGGACAGGTAGACTCTAGTCATGTCTCAGCCTGGGAGTGTAAGAACGGGTGACCTTGAACAACCTCCATGCCCTCTGGGACTCCATTTCTTGCATCCATAACATCAGATACTTTTAGCATGAGCCGAAGGAGTGAAGGATGCCCTATTAATTTAAAATCCACCTTATAGTATTTCCATCACCATTTTAATATACTGTAGCGGACTATATGGAAATAGAAATACAAGCTCAAATATGTAAATACGTGGTCACGAATTCTGGAAAACACACCCACCTATTAACAGACGTTCCTTTGGGAAGTGGGCTGGGTCGTGGGTGGAATATTCACTATTTACTGCATATATTTCTGTGTGGTTTGAAGTCTTTGCTTGTATCATTTTAGAATGATAAAAAATTATATGTCTATGAAAATGTGGATCAT